AGTTTTCCTCTTTTGAGATTTCGAGTTCGAACGCCTGCTACGATTTACCTCGTCTAATGCGTCATCTTCCCCTTCATCATCGGCATCGTCGTCATCATCGTATTCAGAATCATTTTCAGTATCATTTTCGTTTTTCTTCGTTTCTTTTTGAGGTTCATATCTTGGCTGTGTCTGAAAAAGTCCACGTGGCGGAAAGAGGTTGTTTTGTGGCCTGGACCGCGCCTGAAGGCTCGATATTGTTGGTCTCTGAAAACTACGAGTCCGGGGCCTAGCAGTCGTGGTAGTAGTAGTGGTTGTAGATGTTGTCTTTGCTCGGACAGACAATGGGTTTCTTCTAAGTGAAATGGCAGGAGAGCTGTTCACACTTGAACGTGGGACCGGTGTAAACCCACTTGGCCTATTAATAGGTCGACGGAGTCGCAGAAATGGGTTCTGATTGCGTCTTACGCTTTCTTCATCGTCACTTATCTGTACCAATTCGTCAGTGGAATTCTCATCTTCAACACTAATATCTGTACTCAAGTCTTTTAAAACTGTTTTCGTTATCGTGCGCTCACTCGTTGGAGATCCTGATATAGTTGACTTTACTCGAAATTTGGAGTTCCCGCCAAGTATTCCGGAAGCACGAACACCTGGGCTATTAGATTGACGATACGAAGAAGTTATGCCTTGTTTTCTGCTTATTACAATCTGTGTAGTGCGCGAAGAAGACGCAAATCGATTTCTAGGGGGTCCTAATGCTACATTCGACTGGGGGATGCCGCTCAGTTCGCTTAATAGAGAGCTGCTCGATGGCTTTATCGGTCTCCCAAAAGTGCGTCTTGACGACTGAGGTAATCCAAATTCATTTTGATTTATTGGTGCATTTGAAATAACGCCTCGTCTTGAAGAGCTATATCTGGCGGATGTTTTTAGGGCGGGAGTTGCCGTAATGGTAGGTGTTATATCAGACCTTGTTATGATAGTAGCACTACTTGGACTTAACGTTTTCTGTTTTGGAGCGAAAGTAGGCCTATTTCGTGAAGCAAATGGTCTTATAACGGGTGCAAATGTGCGCTTTGATGTTTCAGATGGGTCCAAAGCTGTTGCGCTATTTTTAATATGGGTAGCTCCTTTTATAGTTGCTGCTTCATGCTCGATACTAGAGTCCGCACGGACTTTCGAATTTTCCGTGTGTGAGAGCATAACCGAGACTATTTCAGATGTCGGCAATAGCGCTGCATCTTCAGTAGTTTTCTCAAAGAGAAAGCTGGACGTACTTTCAATAATCTGCGCGTATCGATTGTCTATCACAGTTCCAATTACCTTAGACTGGTATAAAGTAGTTGTGCCGTTCCCGATTCGTGTACCTTCAATTAGCCGCACTAGACCAGTTTTGAACGGCCTGGAGCTAGAAAGGCTTTCATCATTTGATATCATCATAGCCAAACTAGACTTTTTCATTTCATCAATATGCAAACTTGATGTACTACTTGTGAGTTCTATTTCAATTCCCTCGCCGTTAAGCGAAGATGACACTTCTGTTGTAAAATACAATGTGCTTACTTCGTCAGCATCAACAATGTGTTTATAGTCAAACAAAACCAAATCAGATGGTCTGGTTATTATATTATTTAGACTTCCCGTCAAAAACTCGCTTGGCTGGGTCACCTCAGCTGTTTTCAATATAGTATCAGCCATGGATGCGGTAACATCCGTCGGTGTCACCACATTAGTCACGGTTTCCAAACGAGAGTTTGTAATAGTTTTATTGACTTCATAGGATGTGGTATAGTACGTAAATGTGGTGTAATAAGTGGTGAGGTCAGATCGTAAGCTCGGATCAGTCATCCCGGAAGTAACAATAATTTCGGTATCCGTTATCCGATGTTGTTGACTATTATAATCACTTGAATCTGTGGAGCTATAAGATTTGCCTACCGACCTACGTGTTTCGTCCTCAGCAATCGACCCTGGATTTGTCGGTTCAATTACATTTGATAATGTTTCTTCTCTGCTTAGTGTAGTAATTTCACCATCTTTAGCTAACTTAGTCCAATAAGTAAATGTTGTAAAATAGGTAACAGGGAAGGTCGCTTCCTCTACGCTTACAATTTTTGTGGGCTTTAAAGTTTCTGTTGCGACGTTAGTAACTGTCTCAAGACGACTTATAACGTTTGTTTCATCTCCGACATACATAGTTGTGTAAAAGGTAAACGTCGTAAAGCTTGTTTGAAGAAGCACAGTAGCTGATGGTATTATCTCTTCTGTGTTACTTTCCGAACTCACTTGGTCATCCACGAGATCTTTTGGGTTTAAATTTACTTTCTGGTTGCCATGAACGTTACTTGAACGCACATCCATGACTACGGTCACATGTTCTCCCTTTTCGACGCGATCTTCGGATGGCTTAAATTTTAACTGATTTGATGTTTGTAAGTTCTGGGTAGTGTTTTGTGTGTTTAAGTAAGTGTGAGGAGTTTCATTATAGTAATTATTTATTGAATTTTTAGCTATGTAATTTGTTACAACCTCAGTACGCGACGTTACATCAGTGTCATTATCGGCGAATATCGATGTATAATAAGTGTAGGTAGTAAACAATGTGTTTGTATACTTAGAATCATTAAGATATTCAGTTTTCTGTTCATTACTCTTACTTTCATCAACAACTACGTTTGTTTCTTCCCGTTGTTCCCTTTTTGGCTGCAACAGGCTGACAATCTCTTGAGGAATTGTAAACTTGGCAGCTAAAGCTAAAACTTTACTTTCCGTTTGTTGGGACATACTTGCAGTATCCAATCCAATCTCTGCAACCGTCAAGATAGAATCCGTTGGTTTTGTTATCTGATATATTTCAGTACCGGCCGTTGAGGAAATAAGATTGGTTACAATCTCCGTATGGCTTGATACAGTAGTAGAAGCACCTTGAAAGAAGGTCGTCAGGTATGTATAGGTTGTGTACAGAGTCTTATAAATTAAGTCAACCTCATTAGAACCATTATCAGTATCGTAATCATCATCTTCACTGTCATATTCATTATCTGTCGTTAAATCAAAGTCCTCCGTCTCGTGAACTGTGTATTCCTCTGTCTTATTCGATATTTCTGTAGGTATAAGTTCTGTTTGTGCCTCTGTTGTAGCATCTTCTCTAAATACACTCTCAAGTTCCATTTCGGGCTTTTCCAGCTGCTGTACCTGTGAAGCCTGTATGCAATAGTATTTAGTGGTCTGAATAATATCGTATGCCGAGAGCGGGTTTTCATCTCTTGATGGATGTTTTTTCTCGGTGTTTAAAGGCAGAGATCCCAATGACTTTGGCAATTGTGTTAGGAAAACTTGAGATGTTGTTTGATCACAATCTTCTGTAACATTTTGGCTGCTATCGTTTATTGGTAAGGGTGGCAAAGGCTCAGTAAGGGGGCTATCATATAAGTCTTCTGTTAAGTTTTCAGTTGCTTCCGTGCTTGTTGGCCTATCTTCTTTGTCTTCTTTAAATGGCACTGTTGATGCGTCAGCGCCTTCAGAATTGTCACTGTCTTCAGTAACTGTTTCGTAATCGATTTGATCTGTTGATAACAGAATAGAATGTGATTCACCTGTAGGATCTACGAAGTTGGCAAAAGGATCGTCGTCAATATAAACGGTTGTGGCTCCTCCATGTACTTGAATGCTTGATTCATCTACAATTGTATCATCGCTGGGCACTATGGCTGTACTCTGTGCTGTGTTCTCTATATCGGCAATGGGTTCTAATGGATGTACGGTAGGCAGTAGGCCAGAAGACATATGAATTGTTTCTGTTGTAGTAGATTGACTTAACAAAACATGAGCTGACGTAACATTGATAACGTAATTAAGATTTGGCGCCCGGTTTATTTCCGAAGCCGAAAACTGATCTGAATTGTTCTTCTCCTTTATTATATTTGATGAATCTGCGCCGGATCTTGTGTCTAGGCCGACGTTCCATTGAGTAATAGCTGTAGATAAAATAGGAATTTTTTCGAAAACCATTGCATCGGAGACATTGAAGGGCTCGGTTCTTAAAGTTGGCTTCCCTTTAATAGACGTGACGTGGCCATAGTTTTGACTGCTTTGAGTAGTGCTAGGGGAAAAAACAATCACGCTATCACCTACGATCGTTGTAAAATCCGCAAAACCGTAGTATGTCACAGTCGCCAATATTCGTTTGTTTGTTGAAAGAGTTGGTGCTTTCGAAATAAAATGTATTTGATCTGTTTTTGCTCCACTATGTTGTTGTTGTTGATAGTAAGCTTTCGGAGACCGCTCATCATCCATAATGTCTGCAAAAAACTCAGATGAATCTCTATCGGTTTGTTTGATTTCCGCTATTGGCCGGAAAACACTGTGTTCGAAATAATTTTTAACTGTTATGGTTGGCAAATATCCACCAGACAAAAAATTCTGGGCATTCAAATTGTTTGATCTGACATCAGCTTTTTGGTCAGATTGCAATAGGACTGTATTTCTGGATTGCAAAGAATAGGTAGAGAAGTTGTCTAGATACGAGGCGGTCTCCATTGTCCCCACCACTGAGCCTCTTGTATTTTGTACGTTCACAAAGTCTGTGTTTCCTACAAATTCAAGTCGATGATCACCTATATTATCGTCAATGTCCTGCCAGTCAGGGGCATCAGCATTAAATAGATCATTGTGATTCTGCAGAAACGAACGGGTTTGTAAATAATCACCACCACCACCCACCCAACTTGTAACAATAGAAGGAACGACGCGGTCGTTCTCATAGAGAACCCTTGAACTTTTTTTTATATACTGGGCATAGATACGACCATTATGTAATGTAGTACCCAAAACCTGGGTAGCGAACTCTGTTGTAATTCCATCCTGAATAAATGTTCGCGCTGTTGAAGTCAACAGTCCAACCTCTGGACGCACTGTCAAGAACCGTCCATGACTATCCCCCACCCTCCCAGCCCCATTATTCACCAAGAGCACGGTTGTAACATCTAATTGCAAAAATATATAAATATAAATTAAAAGGTCAATAAATTCAAAGTATACATTTTCAGTAAGAGTAAGGAGAAAGGAGTGAGATTACAAAATATTTACATTATAAGGAACATACATTTACAGATGTGCAGATAAGAATTGAAAGGTTAATTAATTAGTTCATATTTCCAGAATGTACAGCCCAAAAAGTTGGTGAAATCATATACATAGAAAGATATAGAGAAAAGTAATAAGAAATGTAAGTACATATTTTTTCATGACATGTATAAGCCTAAGCTATTTAAATTGTGAATTTTTTACTATTCCACAACAGAAAAATACAATCATAAACAGGCATAGGAATATTTTGTAGAGATTCGACAAAGTTATATGTACGAGCAATTCTTTTAGTAACATTGTTTTGAGTACCGGCCCTTGGGCTTTAGAATGCTAGGTACTAAAATTCTTACCTAGTACCGGCAATGTTGGTGTTGGATCCACTGTGTAAGGTTCACCTGAAATTTTAAATTAAGTATGTAATTATTGTATTTAAATCTAAACAACGTATAAGCTAAACGGGTCTTTTGGAGCTCACAAAAGCTCTATCAAGTTGCGGCAACGCGAACATGTTCAAATAAAGCTACAAGTTTTAACTGTTTATTGTATATTTTATGAAGTCCACCGAAATGAATGGAAAAGTAAATACATGCGTATAAATATTTGGGTATGTTTATGTATGTATAATATACATACATACATTGTGTGCATGGCTTTCAAAAATAAATTCCAAATACATACATGCATGTGTATGTACATATATAAAAGGTTTTCAGAGAGAAGAAGAAGAAGTTAAAACTATATATGTATTATTTTTATATGGAATAGAGTAATTTTCTATCAGACTTCCGGTTAACTTGGGTCAACCGAATGAGTAATACAAATGTAAATATGTAGAAATATGTATACATATATTCATTCATACATATACATGTGCATTAGACACTGCGTTCGACGGTAAAAAAAAAGAAAGTGGTAGAAAACTGTACCAGTATGTGGGAAAGGGGCAATGGTGTCAAGCCGACAAATCTCCCTTTTTCCCAAAACTCCCAATCACCAATTTTAATTTAAATCGACTTTCAACAGTGCCACTTGAAACGTTGACGATTGCCATGCACAGATATACTATTTCGCGGGCTTAAGGCCAACAGGTATTTTTGAAGTGAGAGAGTGAATGTGTGCTTACACACATCACATATGGCCATGTGTGTGAGCACACATGCAGCAGGCGAAGACCTGTCTGCACATTTTTTGCACTATACCATCAACAACATCACATCCGCATTTAACTATAAAAGGATGCATTTGCTATCACAATTGGTAGTTTTTAAGCAACAGCGTCTACATCTATTGGTCAAATGCAACTGTACATAATTATATTTTGTCAGAGTCCAACAAAGAGTTTTATGTTCATTTTTTTGGGTCTCTTAAATGTGAAAGCGGTTTAGATATATTACGTTGATGAGCATACTAGTTCACATCTTCTTAACTGTGAAAGCATACATATATATATATATATACAATGTTCAATCTATTTGTATATGACAGTTTAGTATTTGTGTACCCTGCACTCGGTATTGTTTTCGTAAATACATACATATGTACATAGGTACATATCAGAAGAAAATTGATTGATTATCACACACACAAAGCTTTTGCGAAAAAATTAGATTTTTGTCTGACTTACCAACAGTTTGTGCAGCTCCAAAATGGACCATACACAAGAAAAACGTTGCTTTCAAAGTAAGGCTTAATATTTTATCTTTTGATAGGATGGAAAATGCCTGAGATATAGGAAACAGACCATCTTCACGTTGCTTCCAGTACATTTTGCTGTTGCAGTAGGTTTGCGATTTGTCGAAGTTATCCTCGAAATGTCTAATCTTCCGAGTTATACGGGGCTGTAGCATTTTTAACTCCCTTAAAACAGAGCAGACAAGGAAATATCCACAGATAAGTTTAACACAAAGTTGACATTTTTAACTTTATTTCGTAAATTTATACTCCTATATCATTAATGTATTGTTTTTTTTTTAATTGTATAACTATATTTAATACTTCATTTAAATAATTAATTGGTCGCAAGAATTGTTTTTTATAGCACACTGTAACAAGTTATTGAGCTCCGTGTACATACATATGTTATGTGTGTAAACCGCTTACTTTTTCAAAGAACACGCACAACCATTCATGCAAACGAAAGCCAGAGAACTGAATTGAACAGCATAACCACTTCGCTGTTGACTCAAAGCCAACGATGAAGAGCTTGAGCAAGTGGTACGATCGCAGTTGAAAAGGTTGTTTGACCAGTTTATACGATCCAAGCTATAAAAAATCAATTCCCAGCAGCTCCGCAGCTTTTTTTATGAAAGAGCTTGTTCGTCAACTTAGTCTTACTGGCGGTATCGACGAATCATGAGCCACTGAATAGGTAGAAAACATATGTATGTGTGTATGTATAAATGATAAATTGAAGATGCATCTGTTTCGTGGCTCTGGTTCAGAAAGACTATGTTTTACATCTTGGTGATTTGTATAGCTTCTAAATTACACATTATGCCATATTATCTGATGAATAACCAATAAAATCCCATCCTGTTTTCTAATGCAATATATTTTGGAAGTAATAATTTATGCACAAAGTTCATACCCAGTTAATGATTGCCCAAATATTATCTCTTCGTACCAATCTTACCAACGCACATGTATCTGAGAAAAGATCAATCAAAGCTTTTACAAGCAACATTGACCTAGCTACATAACAAATTTGCATTGCCCGTATATCTTGTCATCTCCAAGATATTCTTTAACACTGATACATTGGTGGCTAGATAGATTACGAAAGTACAAAATACGAATGCCAAATTGTGTACAAATACACTATGACATAAGTTCATAACGATTTTATTCAATCAATCGAAGCGTATCTAAGTCCTTTCAATCATCGATTCTAATACTTATAATACAAAAAATATAATGTGCCTTTTTGGCCTAAATCAGAGGTAGTATATATTACCAACTATACATATATATATATATATATAATATATCTATATATATATATATATCGCCAGTGCGCCTTCACAACTTCGAATACAAGAACAAATTCTTCATTTATGAAATAGATATGACAAAAAAGTAGCTTATAAATAATTCCCTACCACTAACACAATTATATATAGTTAACTATAATGTATGTATTCCTATTTTAAATTTTTTATTCAAACACAAGTATTTACAAAGAGGTATGATAAACTAATCAGATTTGTACAATTTCATATGCGAGTGGAGTTAAACGTTACTGTTCTACAGAAGGTTGTTTTATTATATGAACATTATTATCCGGCGAATCAAAAAATCCTAGAAAGGTGTTGTGTTGAATATCAAGGCTTTGCTCAGCGCCCAGGCTAACATATGTAGGATGCCCTCCTTCCCAATCAGTACACTCGTGGGGCTCATATACTTCAGTTATAGGTGGCCAGTTATCATTTTTGGTAGTATTATACTCCAGGCGCATGTGTTCTTGCTTCGATTTAGACCAGCTTTGGTCTCGCTTCACTTGATATTTTTTAAATACTAGGTATTCTACAAGAAAAGACTCAACAAACACATGGATAACAAAAGCTGCAGCTCCGTAAATGAGCATTATATATCGAAAACTCATCACTGGCGGCACGATAAGCTGGAAAAAATTAGCTACCCACTCGCTTGGGTAAACAACCAAATAGACTATGATGCAACAGTTTAAAATAAATGTTAAGCAGAGTGGCCAATTTGACCACAAGGGTTTCCGATAAGGCGCACCCTTTGAAAATACAAAGGCGAGTATAATATACTGGAAACTGGATATTGCAAACATTGTGTAGTTCTCATAGCAGCCGAGGTGATCTTCATCTGATGATTGAAATGGTTTAAACCATGGCTGTTGCTGCAGCTGAAACCAACCTAGACCATCGGGGTAATAGAAAAGGTAAATAATATTTTGAAACCATAGTAATAGTTTGTATTACTCACCAGCTACCTGAAAAACAGTCACTACGACCAGATGCAATAGGAGCGACGCTAATGGCGAGGGAGATATCAGCGAGCTAAGCGGTACCTGTTTTACGAGGTGGCCATCAAACGCTTCAGTTTTACCAAAGAAAAAGGCAAATATTGATATCAAGCCGAGGTCAACATAAAGATACTGCTTGTCTGTTAGATTCGAGTCGATCGAGTACAGAATCATCACAGATATAAACTGTACCAGAGAATATGCTGCCATATATTTAAAAATGCCAACCGATGTGACCAAAGCAGCGCGACCCTCCTTTATAACATTTGGCACAGCCGCAATCGTGGGATTACGCGAAGTGAACGGTGAGGCAATGGACGACTCGGTCTCACTTAACGAAATGCCAGCATGTGCTACCTTCAATGCACCGCAATCATTGGCACCATCACCACACATGGCCACGCAGTAATCCAATTTTTGAAGTTCCATTACCAGTGCTTGCTTTTGATCGGGCGACATACGGGCGTAAATAGCTCCACGCGTTAAAAGGATCGCTAGTTTCTCAGGAAACTGTTCCTTAACAATTTGCCACGTTTTACCATCCATGGCAAATATATAATGATGCCGCCAGTTATCGTCTTGTGTGAGTTCCGTTCCGAGCTCCACGTCAACGTCCATCGCCTCGTTATGGGTCCATGTATCCACGGTCTTTACACTAGCCACGCTATCACTGTTGGGAAAGATGCTTTCGGAATAACTAGTGCTCAATCCATTAGCTAACGAATTTGCAGACATCAACCGATAAAGGGTTGAAGGACAATTACCACCCAAGTTGATATCTTGTGTTACAGTAGTTCCATTGCACTTAGATTTCCAATGAGAAGCACAGTTTTTGCTCCCCAAGTCCAAGGTGTACTGAAGGTTGTATTCCCTATGTTCGGATATGCTTTTCGTAATACCGGGACTAGTATTACTACTATGCGCATGTGTATTTGTAAGAGAAACCACATCAACTGGATCGGCGTGCACTGTTATTACCGCCTGCTCAGGAGACACTATGCCACAATCCCGTGCAACGCTTGTGGCAGTTAAAATATTGTCTCCAGTCACCATTATCGTTCTTATCTTGGCTGCGTTTAGTGCATGTATTACCGTTGTGGTATCGGGCTTGAGTCGGTTCTCTAGGATAACAAAGCCAAGAAACTCTAGATTAAGTTCAACTTCCTCACGGGAATATCGCTGAACTTTTGTATAATTAATCTTTGGAGCGAGAGCCTTGAATGCCAAGGCTATAATTCGATAGCCCTTTTTGGCGAACGTCGACAACTGTTGAGAATAGTTATCTGGTAAGCTCTGAGGTCTGCACAGCTGCTGTAACGTTTCCGGAGACCCTTTACAGTATACATTGAATCCTTGCGCACTAAGACAACGAGTGATGACCGACATTCTTTGAAGACTTGAGGTAAATGGGAATTCTCGAACAATCCCATGATCAAAGCTTTTCTGAGTCTGTGACAGACCAACATTAGCCAATAGATCTTCCACTGATGACTGCCGTCGATTTCCTGGTTCAGTTTGTGACGAAGTATTAGAGGAGAAGTCTTTTGGTTGTCGTAGTATGGTTGGATAAATTAGCCCATATTTCTCGTTATCCGGTATATTTGATGAGTCCTCAAGTATCCACCCCGTTGACTGGAACATTTTAAGATCCAGTGGGTCGCCCATCAACGTACCATTAAGTACAGTAATCGAGTGACACGTTACCATGCTAAAAAGAAAGTGATCATAAGGCAGACGATTCACGTTCTTTAATGGTATTTGAAATTGGTTAGTGGACGATTTAGGGACCACACCCCACATATCCAGCCCATCCTCCGTTAAGGTACCAGTCTGAAAGGAGAAAACCAGAAAGAAGAAGAGGAAGAGTAGTATAGATAAGATGATTGTTATTGGAAAGGTCACCCTTATTCAGAACATGATTGTAGGGTATGTGAAGACATAAGATATGAATAGTTGAATGTTTCATTAAATGTCACACCTTATCAAAGCAACAGCAATTAATGCTACCTGCCACGTTAATCGACCGTGGAGAGATACAAAAGATGTCGTTGGCCTTCAAGCGTTTCTGTGCATAAAAGCGACCAACAGTCATTGCAGCTGGGAGAGCGGGAGGTACAACTATAGTAATTAGGTCCAGAGATTCAACAGCTATTTTTACCGGATCCGTTCCCCGCAATATCTGAAAATATATTAAACATTACTTGGAAATAATACAATTATACAAGAACAGTTATATTTTGTATACCATAATAACTGTACCTTTGTTATTAGTGTGTAAATAAATCCAACACAAGCAATTAATGCCAAAAACTGAATAAATTTATATGAATCTTGTTCAAATTTATAGTCCACGGGTGGCGGATAAAGAATGGACCGTATTAGTTCTCCTTTTGCTGTTATGTTACCGGTGTTAATCACGAAAGCCAATACTTTTTTAGATCCAATATACCGCGTCTGAATAACCTTTGTTCCACAAAAAAGTATATGTCTGGCATGTTCTTTCTTGTCAAAAATCATATCACGCTTTGGAGGCAAAGGCGTTTTAGTTACCGGCACACTCTCGCCCGTAAGCATCGATTCATCTAGAATACAGTTGCCAGATAATAATACTGCATCACACTGCATTGTACATCCTGATGAAGGTATTTCAATTATATCACCCGGTACAAGAGTTTGGGTTGGAAACTCTTTGGAAACACCCTTTGCGTCCAAAACTAAAGCATTCCCAGTGTTGTGCACCGTTTTTTTAAGTACATCTTGATTCTAGGAGACAGGATTCACAGGAATTTAAAACTTGTCGTAATTAAATAAGAAAAAAAGTAAATCTTACAGATTGTCAGTGCAAAATGTATAATCTAGTGGTACGATTTGTTTTTTTTTATTTATTTATTTTTAGTTATGTACTTTTTCTACTGCTAGGGATATCTATCGCCACGGAATTTCTGCGTCTGCAATAAGATTTCCATATATTTTTTATTTCTCTAATATTAAAAATTAGGTATTTGTTAATTTTTAAAAACTCATAATTATCAATTCACGGGTCAATTGTTGCGAGCAATATTGAACTACAATATGCTTTCAGCAGCGATCCAACTGTTTTCACGAACAGACGGACATTACATCTACACATTTACATAATTGTTATGAAAATGTACATACAATACATATATTTATTGTACACTCTGTGCTAATTAGAATACAATACTCTTTTTTTTTAATTATATGACCGACTCACTTACCTTTTTTGTTTGCAAAATTGACATGGTTATTCCAAAGATAGACATTAAGAGGATAACACAAGCATAATAGTAGTAGTCGTAGGTAAACCACAAGACAACCGAGAATATTTGAAACACATAGAAGGGGTTAAGCACCTCCAGAAAGAGTAGTGTTTTAACATCTCGCAATGGAACAGTTATCTCATTTTCACCAAAAACTATGCGCCTGGATAGCTGCTCATGCACTGTTAAGCCACGTTGCTGGTGGTAGTAAGAACAAGGCACATTAAGATCGAGGCCATTCACTTTATTAAAGCAATTTAGTGTGCTGTCCCACGCATATACCAATTGCTTGCAACGGAATATCCGAAGTGACGAACAATCTGGATAAATAGAATTAAAGAACTTTTATTCGATATCCTTTGAATGAACTATAAATTTAAATACGAAACATGTAGGGGTATTTTTATTTTCATAAGCCAATGCAAGTATGTACATATATGCATTTTTGATTGTAATAATTCTGTACCATACCACATACTTTTGAACTGGGCTGATGTAAAATGCACTGAGATTTGCAAATTATTATCGTCGACTTCAGTAATTCTTGGATATCCCTTTAGTAATAACGATCTGTAATTAAAGAATATTGAATGAAGAAATTTTAGCAAACAGCATTGACAGTCACTCAAGAAATGCCAAACAAATTTGGCCTTAACTTACTTCAGATGATTTATATTTAAAACGCGAACGCTCTTCACGTGGTACAGCTTATGCTTGCCCTGATAGTCTTCTACTATCAACACCTGATCTGCCTCATCTAGAGGGCACTGATGACATGTAGCGAACAAGTACCAATGGCGCCACCAGTGCATCACGAGTCGTAGTAGGCCTCCAGTTAGAACAATGCAGAGCCAGCAGAGAATACTGCGCACATAACAGCGTCGATATCCGGTTATGTTCATCTGGTCCTCCTGATCTTGATTTAATAGACCATTCAATAATTTCGGTTCTAAGAAACAAAAAAAAAAAATGCTTAACGCCGGAATAGCTAGCTAAGTTTTAAATGGTTTCCATTGCCCCGTTTTGACGTCAGTGCACCTTTTTTTCTTTGTTATGTTCCATACCTCTCAACACGTTGCAGCTCATCGTCAGTTTTGCCAATAACGTGACAACAACAATAACAACAGCCAAGAATTTGAATTTGATTTCAGCGTCTGCAATAACCCATAACTCTGATCTATTCTGATCGATTCTTGTGAAACATAACTTCCAGCGATCTAGCTATTCAAATTAAGTGACTCGTTACCGATTCATCAAGACATATGCATGTACATACATATATGTAGCTCCACAAGGTTATGTACAATAAAATGTACATATGTATGTACATGTGCACATGAGTATGTACATACATACACATGTATAAGTTATAAGAAACCTCGTGTCTCGGCTTCTGAAGGGTGTTTCTGTTTTAGCGCATACAGATGCACGTAAATGTGATAAGGTCACATATAACAGCTGATTATTTTAAAATTGTATTTCGGCTTAACACCGGAAAAATTTGTGTATACAAATGCAAATTTAACACGAAAATTATCCAATATTAATGACGCTAATATTAAAAGAAATTGATATATTCACTTTGCGATTGGTCAAATAGGTAAAGCAACTCGAAGCAAGGAACGATCAAGACTGTAACAATTAGCTGGTTAGCTACGAGAGGTAAAGGCGACACGCGTAGTCGAAAAGTGAACAGCCAATATGTAGATAAAAACAAAATGATAAGAAGCACGAATGTCTCGATTGCTATGGTTTGTTTGCCAAGAGAGTACGAGTCCGCCTGGCTTGTGGGCTTTACCGATTCGTTTATTAGTTTATAGAGCTTTAATTATACATATGTATGTATGTATGAGTAAGTAGATTTTCACAGACGTAGGATTGTTTTCGTGACACTGCTCAATAGCTTTGAGAGTAAAACAGCGCAATTATGAGCAATTTGAGTGCCAAACATAAAACCGTAAACTTACACAGATGTACAAAGTGTGTGCATTTTATGTAATCTCTTGAAGGATAGGATTCTTTCACTCCTTTCATATAATTTAATTTATATTTATTCTCAATATTATACGTTTTGTACTTCGATACCCTTATTCCTGACTTGCAATTACAACATACACATATACCTCGATAAGCATGTTTGCATGGCATTGACAAACACTCGAGCGAATACCGTTTGAACAAATTTAGCAGCGTACAGACTTACATACATACATACAAACTTATATATGTACATACCTATGTATGCGGAAATCACCATTTGACGCTAAGACATATAATTACACTATTTTTTACATTGTTTCTTCATTTGAATGTGTAAGTGCAGCCTCATTCCTTGGAGGCACAAGCTTCTTGAGACACATCATCATCAAATTTACATATATGTATGTAAAAACATTTTCCAGCTAAACCTGCTGTACACTTATCTACATACATACATGCAGTGTTGTATGTTAATTTGAAATTTACATTTTGGAGCTAATTTACGTTCGTTTCCATGCTTTTTTCCAAGTATATATTCACATTTAATAAATGGAAACTGAGCACCTGATATTTGATGAATTTATATATGTATGCATATGAAAACCGTTAAAAGGGTGATATACCTCAAATACATAAACATACCGTTAGCCAAGACGGGTAACATTTTTAGAGATTTTTTAAATGTGAATGGTGCATGGTGTGAAACATTTTAGGTTAATTTGATTAAATTGAAGTGTTTTGGACGTTTAAAACCAGGTACAAAACTGTGCACAAAGTGGATGTATGTAACGCACAGAAGGAAACGTTTCCGACCCCATAAAGTATATATATTTTTGATCAGCATCAATAGCCGAGTAGATAGAGCCATGTCTGTCTGTCCATCTTGTTTGTCGAATAGTTCTCAGAGACTCTAAGAGCTAGAGCCACAAAATTTTGCATCCAGAATTCTGTATGCCCACACTGCTACAAGTGTATTTAAAAAATGAGCCCCGCCCCTTCCGCCCCCGCCAAAGGGCGAAAACCTTCAAGAGCTACAATGTTGAAGATAAAAAAAACTCAAAAACGCCATTCCGTAGGGAATGACCATATCTACCAGATTACCAAATGGGGATCCGATTGGATATAGCCACAATAACGAAATTAATTTCCAGTGGCTAAATTTTCTAACTAACATTCTCTCATTCACACTCTTCTTCTGCTTCACTCGGCCCCTGCCTCTGCCCTCCCCCTGCCGATGACTCTTCCGACTTTTAACCCACCCCGTCTCGCAGCTTATATTTGTTTTTTTTTTTATTCGTGCGATCGCTGCCTGTGCCTCCGCCGCGAGTCTGCAGTGTGTGGGTCTAGGGAAGGGCGGCGAGATTACGGAGCGTCTTGGTTTGAGAGTGTTGTAGATGTAGATGACAGATGAAGAAAAAGTTTGTTGCTATAGAACATACATGTAATATGTGAATACGATAGAGAAAGAGGAAGAACATGCATTTAATAGGTGAATATCGAAATTGAAAAGAAGAAGAGATTAAATTGATTTGAATTGCGACTTGGTCGAACCAGCAGCACTTGGCTTTTTATTTCGAGATTTTGATTCCGAACTGGTTGCGAGGAGTTGCGGAAAGAGTGGCCAAAAGCTAATTTTTAAAAGTTAAAACTAAGATTGTATTAGAAAAAGAGTGACCATCAAATTTGCGTACCAGAAATATTCATAGATGGCGCCACTTTCGAAAAATCTGCTGTGAAACCTAGCGGTTATTATTGCACAGAATGTGCAGGGAAAAAGTACCAATTTTATTGCTGTTTTAAATATCTCATAAATTGGAAAATACGATTAACTGATCCAATTTTTTTGATGCATTTTATTTAGTAGTCTTTTTACTACGTATTATGTAATGTGAACAATATCTAGTGTCTTTTACATCTAGATGTAGTCCTGAGTGCCGGGTATAAAAGTTGTGACGCGTCAGAAGCGTCTCACACGTCCCTTCTCGTTTTTGTATTGTTTTTATACCCGGTACTCGACGAGTAAATAAGGTATATTGTATTTGTGGGAAATACCGAATGTTTGTAACGTACAGGGGGATGTAGGGAATGACCACATCTATCAGATCAACGAATTGGGATCCGATTGGATCATTATTATAGCCAGAAGAGAAGTCTGGATGTAGAACTTGGTTGCCCTATCTCTTATGGTTTCTGAGTACTAGGACGGACAGACTGAAATGGCTTAATCGACTCGGCTATTGATGCTGATCAAGAATATATATGCTTTATGGGGTTTATCTTTATCTCTTTATCATTATCTAGAAATTAATTTGCACTTTTTTTTTGTACATTCTCTCATTCACACTCTAATACTTATTAAGTTACGTTTCACTGTGTTAATTAGTTGAAAGACTTAGAGAGTAATACTTATATGTAAATATCAACAATAAAAAAACAACCGAACAGTACGGAATGCTTCAATACCGGAAGTTAGCATTTGTCCTCATAAGACATGTGTGACATGTGCATTTTGGTGTACATACCATCCACAAGTCGGTGAGAATCCATCGTATCAAATTCCTCAACGCCTGGGTCAAATGACGTCTCGTTCTTTTTGTTGCCTGTGAGCAGTTCCCTCTGATCCCGATCGGCCTGACTTCGCTGAAGGACGGAAACTAACTTTGTTGGCGTGTTAAGGCAGCTATGAACTACGGTATTGTTATTATCCACGGAATTGATTTCATTGTCATGTATATGTTCTCTTTGTTCCCTTTTCTGAGGCTGCAAGAATGCTGCTTCCACATTTTGCAGTTGTGTGGGTGAGTGCCACCAATTAAGCTTTAAGCGATTGTTTTTGGTGGCAATTCGTGAAAAGGGATAGTATTCCTCTGGGGCCAGATCTCCCGAGTTTACAGTGGCGTTTGACAAAGATTGCAGCTGCAGGATCTCTGGACGAAGAGCTGCATTGTCTGCGTCTTCACTTTGGCTAGCAGACATGTTCTAAACGAGGAAAGAACTCGGTAAATCAGAGCCTCATTAACAATTTGCAGATAATAAAGTAGGTTTATATGTTCGGGTTGTCTATTATGCAGGAAGCAGGGCAGACCATTCCTTAAGAGCTTGTGGAAATTTTCGTTGCTGTAATGTCAGCTGCGAAACGTTTGCACTTTACAATCATTAATTGCGATGCAACATGAAATCCTAGGGAAGTTGACTGATATCATTTTCGTTTTCCTTTAAACTGGCCACCGGGAAACGAAAGGATGGACGTTGATGCTGGATCGCCAATTATTTAGGCCTGAGGAAGCTCTGAAAATTTGAATTGCGATTTCTGCGATATACTTTTCAGATAGCCAACTGAAAATGTTATCTATGTAAACATGTGAGCCTAGGAGGGGTGTAAGCTGCAAGGCTGTTAACCCAAATGCTCTTTAATCATCCAAAGTTTGAGAGGGCACTGGATAACCGATATTGTTTTGAGATCTCGTAGGCTCCTCCGCTCCCAACGCGCTTTTCGAAAAAGAACTGTTTGACGTAATCCTTCTGCAAAATATCCAAGCTTATCCTTATCCGGCTGGGTAGGACGCTGACGACAGTCCACCAGTTAACCGACTTTGACACCGCTGACGGACCGTAGCACCGTTTGAGCAGCTTTCTCTTTGATACCCAATATGTCTCCTGCTGCTTCTTTATATCACCTTTAACTGAATTCATTACGATATCAAAATCACAGGGATAAGCGTATTGTGTTGACTGTCCCAAGCAGCTTAAAATGCACAATATTGGAATCAAGGATTGTGTTTCGTCGAGACTTTAGTGCATCCGTTAGCACAACCTTATAAAAGTTATCAATCGTTTCGACATGTAGTAACAATTGTACGGTTATATTTTATAAATGATTTTGAATGCTCACAGGCCACTTTGGGAAAATGATATTTTTGCGGTCAGTTTTTTGTTATTGTGCGACTTTATTAGCGGCTTGGGTTGACCATCTAATAGACAATTGATTATACAGTTTAAACTCATTTCTCGTCGAACAGCGTTCAATACCATATTCATAACGAAGCATGCAAAAGCACGCCTATGTGGGTATACATCTAGGTCGACTTAAAATGTTGTCTTTGGATGTTTTTGGGAGATGAACCATCAACATATCTGTAAAGAAAATATAAAAAAAAGTTGAAAAATGTTTTTTTTTTTGTTATTTAAACAATTTGTACTAAAATAAATCCCAAGTTAAAATCAACATATGTAGATATATGTATAGCCAGAACAGCAAGGCTGCAATTTTAATGTGATGATTAAATCGAACATTTGCGGTACCTTCTAATTGAACTCAAACTTTCACCTTTGAGGGAAAGTTTCTTTCTGTGACAAAATAATAATAAAGCAATTTTCAAATAATTGCCCAACTCACATTTTTAACTTTAAGGAAACTTTAAGCACAATTTTAGAAAGGTGAGACTCTTAAAAATCTGGGAACAACAAAACAATCATTTTTATTTGTAAGGCTTTTAATATATTTAAAGAACTAGAACTAGAACTAAACATTTAATAGCACCACTTTTGAAAAAAAATTCAAAATAAAAGGAATCTGACAAAAGATTATACAACAAGGCTGCATCTGAGCTTAGACAACTGCTGTCGAACTTACGCAATGAATCCCTGCTGCGTATCTGAGAAACTTAGACCCAGATTCCTGCAACAATGAATACAACCTATGGAGGGCGGAGACTGAATACCTAAAGAAACCAGCTAAAAGAAACATAATATTCGCAAAAGCAACTGTCGGTCTAAAGTATTTGCACAACATCTGCATTCTGTGTTTCAGCCAAACGATATAAATTCTCTTCACCCTATATACGGCCGTTTTAGCCACAAGCACATCTATAAATGAAGCTTTCAACCTTCCTGCAGTGTGGGCTTAGCCTAATTGAAGACTGGTTCCTTCAATGGAAATATGAAGAAATATGAAGAAGTTGTGACAGAAATCAAATGATTCAACAATAAACGAGAAGGGACATGTGAGACGCTTTTCACGCGTTACAACTTTTATACCCGGCACTCAGGACTACATCTAGATGTAGAAGACATCGCCAACAACTAGATATCGTTCACATTACAGAACACGTAGTAAAAAGCCTACTAAATAAAATGCATCAAACAAATTGGATCAGTTAATATTTTCCAATTTATGAGATATTTAAAAGAGCAATAAAATGGTACATTCTTGGACCGATAGGTTTCACAGCAAATTTTTCGAAAATGGCGCCATCTAGCGTTAAAAACCGAGTCTTGGTTAAAAGTCGGAAGAGTCATCGGCAGGGGGAGGGAAGAGGCAGGGGCCGAGTGAAGCAGAAGCAGAGTGTGAATGAGAGAATGTAAAAGGAGCATAAAAGCTGCAGGACTGGGTGGGTTTAGCCACTGGAAATTAATTTCTCCATTGTGGCTATAATAATGATCCAATCGGATCCCAATTTGGTGTTCTGATAGATATGGCCATTCCTTACGGAATGTTTAGTTTTCTTTTATCTTCAAAATTGTAGATGTACGAGGCTTTCGCACTTTTGCGGGGGCGGAAGGGGGCGGGGATAATTTTTTTAATACAGTGGTTTTAGTGTGAGCATACAGCAGTCCGGAGCCAAAATTTGTTGGCTCTAGCTCTTATGTCATTGAGTTTATTTAAAACCATTGGTTTGCTCTTGTCTGACGAGTCTAGGTGCAGACGGGCTGTGACCTTGGACAAGAAGTCAGAGTATGCCTGGTAGGGTGTTGAGCACAGAGGCATCTCCTTCCACAAGTCTGGAGTGAGGTAAGCGTAGGTCTTGGTAGTACTCAGAGACTTTAAAAGCTAGAGCCACCAGAGTGTGTTGGTGCGAGAAGTGTTGTAGATGTAGATGACAGATTAAGAAAATATGTACAATTTGACAAAAACCACTAAGGTACAGATGTAGTACTGAGTGCCGGGTATAAAAGTTGTGACGTGTAAGAAGCGTCTCACACGTCCCTTCTCGTTTGAATATTCAGATCAGATATACGAAATCTCGGTCTAAAATAATTATTGGACAAAAATTTAATTCTTCAAATTACACTAGTCGGCAGGATTTGGCCGCTTCGATCCAGACCAATTCTTCCAACTTCTTCTGAAAGATAGTTGGCTTAGAAATGGTTTGATAATGATTTTTTTTCTGTCAGAACTTTTCTTTAAAGAATTTTTAAAATCTGGTATTTTTTAAACGCTTTTTTAGAGGAAGCGCTTTTTTTTCACACAACTTAGGTATAAGCCTTAATTCTTTTATATATATAGTCCGTTTGGTTCCAAGCGGAAAAATTCTCGATTTTGTCTAGTAGTTTGATTAAACACGAGACGCTTTATTAATACTTTAATAAGATTTTAAAGTTTGCAAAATTCACGACATCTGCAAGTGTATCTATCAAAAGCTTAGTCCCCGAATCTATACTTACTTCTGCAGAAGGCAGTACTCATTTTTAAAATGCACTTTAGTAAATTAATTGCGATCGACCAATCAACATCTCGAAAGTGCGAGATAGCTTTGTTTTTTGTTAAGCCTAATTATGAGTCACGGGGAGTCAAGATTTGAAGGCGATTATTTTGCTGTAGAAGAGAGCCTAATATTCCATAGGTGATCTTTAACATAAACTCATTTATCTCACTTGTTTAATCTGGTGATCTAACATTTTTTTATAGCCGGTATTCGAAGGTTAAATAGGGTATATGTTATTTGTGGTCAAAAATGTAACAGACAGGAGGAAACATATGTATGCATCTATGTATGTTATGTATTTGTATTATGTACATATGTTATTTGAATACATATATTGATCAGCATCAATAGCCGAGTAGATATGGCCATGCCTGTCAGTCCAGAGACTCAAAGAGCTGGACACCAAATTGTTTGTGGATGCTCATGTAATAACACACTGAATCAAGTTTGTTTCAAAATGTAGCCACGCCCAGTTCACCCGTCACAAAGGGCGAAAATCTGCTGTATCCACAATTTTCCAGATAAGAGAAAAATGCGATTCCGTAGGGAATAGCCATACCTATCAGATCACCGAACAGTGTGTAACAGTGTGATAGTACAGCAGACTGGATGCAAAATATCGTGGCTGCAGCTCTTATGGTCTCTTAATACTAGGCGCTCATCCGTAGGGATGGACGGACAGACAGACTCAGCTATGTATATCGACTAGGCTATTGATGTCCATTAAGAATATATGTGTGTATGTATCTACATATATACCATATGCGTTTCCTTCTGCGCGTTACGCACTTTGCTCCACAACAAATAAAATATACCCTGTTTACTATTCGAGTACCGGGTATAAAAAGTTGCTGTAATTGAATATAAGTCGAGGGCAAAATAAATGTTCTACCCTCGCGCATTATGGCAAAAATATGCGTTTGTGGTAAACGACTATTTATCTACATATTTAGCAAGAATTTTAGTGAATTTGTATCCTATAAAAAATGTCAGAAGAATGTATAAAGATAGATTATCTGCAAAGCAAAAATTGGCAATAGCAATAACAAGATCTCTATATCGTTGTTTCATTCTTAAAACAGTCATAGTATCTACAGTACTTACCCCTAAAAATATTAACGTATATACATATGTACAAATACACATGAGAATATATTATTATTCTCCATATGAATCTGTATATGTGCATATGATTCATGCAGGAAAATTCAATCTTACTTAACGCTTATGTTAATGACTAAAAATATATCAGGAACATTTCTGTTAACATACATTTATGCATGAATGAAGATGTATGTATGTATGTACATACATCACTGTAGCTGCGTTAAAATTCACAGATGGTAATTATGTGCTGTCATATGCTTTTGAGTACAAATATTGCTGATATTTCACATTAAGTCGATGAACAATGTACATATTTTGCAGTCAGAACTGTATCAAGAGTATAATAGGTTCACTTTCACTTATAATATTTATAATTTTAAAGATTTTTTTTCATCACACGCGGTTCTGATTATGGTTAATATAATAGGCAGTGTGGCTAACACTCAGAAATATACCTCAAAATTCTCAAAATATACTATAAATATACCGAGAAAAAAAAGAACTTAGCCAAATGAACCCCTTCTAATTAAGTAGGAGAACAGCTTGAGTGAGCCGTGGGATATAACATTGTTAAGAGTATATTTTTCTATGCTCTCCACATATAATAATGTATTACACGATATTTTTAACCGAACCAAACTGGGTACACTGTTTTGTGTTTGTTTACAAAATGAAACCTGTTATATATATTCAAATTTTGAATGAAATCAGGAGGAGTGTGTTATTTCAGAGTGGATATGGAGCTTGGAGAACAACAATGCATGTAGAAAGCACCGCATAAATAGATAAGTCCCTTCTGTTGGACAGAAATGCAATTAAAATGTGTTTTATCTCCTTATAAATTGATCAAATAAGTACCGAGTTTAATTTCATAAATTGTAGTATCCATTTAATCAGGTTTCGTTTGACTGCATTAATCAGTTTTAAATCGTCTTCAGTAAATTTTATTTTTTAGCGCTCTTGCGTTTGTTTTGGTTGTGTGAATATTTCTTGTCGACAGAAACAGAAGATAGATTTATTCTTTCTTACGCTGCGGTATTTGTAGTATGCTGGAGTTCTGGTATATTTTCAGCAGATCTGAATGCTCAACTTATGGCTGCAACATTTACTGTCAAATAAAAAAAGTCTTAATTGCTTATCGTTTAGGAACGTTTGTGAGACGATTTGAATGCGTAAAAACTTTTATACCCGGTATATTTATACCCGAAATTGGGAAATTTGCTGGTATCAGTGTAATATCATAGCAATCTGAAGGCAAAATTTGGTGGCTCAGCTCTTATAGTCTCTCTGTACCAGCCGACAAACAAGACGGAGAGAAGAACGGACAGACGGACAGGCAGACTGACATACATACATACAAATACTTTGTGGGGTCGGAAACGTTTTCTTTTATTCACTCTCGAACACATATACAAAGTACGCTATATACGCTACGAGTACCGAGTATAAAGCCTAGGTCTCAGATAGAAAACAAAGGCCGCTTTAAAAATTAGAGATGATGTTCGTATGGAACTCATAAGAAATTGTTTCGAGCACAAGCTGCTCTCTAGAGGCAGTAGTCCGGGTTGTATCAAATCAAAAAGAATTTGTACGATTAAAGCTAGAGAATTAGCCGATAGTTTTTTGTGGTATTCGATGGTATGTTTCTAGCAGCTCGACAAATATAGATCTGTTCTATATTCAGCGAGGGTACCTAGCAAACAGACAGTGAAGACTCAATAATGGAGTCAACAATGCCGCTGAAGTTGAAAGATAGATACCACCGTGCATTTCAGTGAGTTTGAGGTCGTCAAACAATTATTTTAGAATAATGAGATTATACAGCCTTGCTGCTTCACCAATCAAAGAAATGCTATTCCCAGACATATGAAAATTCTTAAAGATTACTGATGGCCTTTGAGTCCTACTTTCAAACTTCGGAATGTGCAAAGGGTATTGCTACATGGGTTTCCATAAATGTACGAATATTTATATTATTTATAATACTCAAATGTATGGACAAACAACCGTCCTGGTTTTTTTTCGTGCAGATGTGGGGTTACTCAATGTTTTCGGCGCTTATTTCGTTGATTGTCATCATCCTCAGCTAATGCAAGAGCCGCAAATTACACTAAAAGAAAACTCTTGCATGGATCCATTTTGCATTCATTGTTTTATTAACGTTTTATTAAATTTTCACACATTTTCAAAAAGGTAAACAAAGTCAAACGGCTTCCTGAGAAGTGTAACCTTACGGAATGCGGGTTTCACCTTTGGTCACACTCTGCCATTAGAAAAATATATTGCACTGTTTGCTAGCAACAAATAGGGTATATTGTATTTGTGGGGAATAACGGATGTTTTTAAAGCACAGAAGGAAGCGTGTCCGACCCCATAAAGTATAAATCAATAGCCGAGTCGATTGAGCCATGTCTGTCTGTCCGTCCTGATGAGCGCTTAGTACTCAGGGACTATAAGAGCTAGAGCCACCAAATTTTGCATCCAGACTCTCTATGTATTTCAAAAATGAGCCCCTCCACCGCTAAAGGGCGAAAACCTCCCAAAGCTACAATTTTGAAGATAAAAGAAAACTAAAACTCCATTCCGTAGGGATCGCCAAATTGGGATCCGATTGGATCATTATTATAGCCACATTGAAGAAATTATATTGCAGTGGCTAAACCCACCCGTCCCGCAACTTATATATGTGTTTTGCACATTCTCTCATTCACACTCTGCTTCGCGCAGTGTGCGGCTTCTGCCTAGGCCTCTGCAGCGTTTCTGCCTCTGCCGTGACTATGCAGTGTGTGTCTCTAGGGCAGGGTGGCCAGCTAAAAGAGTGTGTTGGCGTGAGAAGTGTTGTAGATGTCGATGGCAGATGAAGAAAATATGTAAAATTGGACAAAAACCCGCTAAGGTACCGATGTAGTACGGAGTACCGCGTATAAAGGTTGTGACTCGTAAGAAGCGTCTCACATGTCCCTTCTCCTTATTCAATATAGTTAACCTACCCAATGGGAAGAGAAGCAAGCCCATACCATTAAATTGGACCATTTATTTTTAATGGTTTTCTTTGGTGTACTGGCGTTCCTTGGACGTCTTAAGTATGGTCGAGATCCCTTTTCAGCAAATAAAACACTTTTTACTCATCTGTCATTAAAATTTTCCTCCATTGTAGGGATGTCCAATTGACATGCTCCCTTGCAAACATCATGTGCTTAGTACTATGTCTGGCGTTTGAAAGTGCTAGTGTTTTTGGGCAGCAAACTTTTAGGCTATGTTGTCTAAGATATATCCAAACTTTTTAGCCCGTCGCTTTTATTTTAAGCTCTTTTTTTAAGCTCGACAGCAGGCTTGGAGATTGGAACCTTCTTGCTCTCAAGAATCAGCCTTTTGACCCGAAAAGGGGTCATAGATCGTTTTCATCCACGTGTTTCACACTTTTCTTCATATTTAAGGATTTTTAATCATTTTATTGAAACTACCAATTGACCAACAATTTTCTGTAAGTTTTTACGTCAAATATCAATGTTTTGCTAAGGTCGCGCTTCTTCGCATTTCAGAGCTTTCCACGTCTTATTGTAATGATAATTATTAGCTTTTTTGATAGAAACAATGAAATATTAATCAAAACTAATAAATACGTGGTTTATACAAAGTCAATTCAGCGAAATTACGGAGATTCACTTAAAATAGTGCTAATGGTGCTATTATTTTTTTCGCCATTTTTGTGGTATTTTTTCTTAAATTAAAAAAAATATATATATACAGACAGAAATTTGAAGAAAGGCAACACTTTTTATGTTAATGGGGAATACTAAACTATATGAAAAACTATTGAAACGAGAAGGGACATGTGAAACGGTTTTCACGCGTTACAACTTTTATACCCGGCACTCAGGACTACATCTAGATGTAGAAGACATCGCCAACAACTAGATATCGTTCACATTACAGAACACGTAGTAAAAAGCCTACTAAATAAAATACATCAAACAAATTGGATCAGTTAATATTTTCCAATTGATGAGATATTTAAAACAGCAATAAAATTGGTACATTCTTGGACCGATAGGTTTCACAGCAAATTTTTAGAAAGTGGCGCCATCTTGCGTTGAAAACTGAGTCTTGGTTAAAAGTCGGAAGAGTCAACGCCAGGGGAAGGACAGAGGCAATGGCCGTGTTAAGCAGAAGCAGAGTGTGAAGGAGAGAATGTAAAAAGGGCAACAAAAGCTGCGGGACAGGGTGGGTTTAGCCACTGGAAATTAATTTCGTCATTGTGGCTATAATAATGATCCGATCGGATCCCAATTTGGTGATCTGATAGATATGGCCATTTCCTACGGAATTTTTAGTTTTCTTGTATCTTCAAAACTGTAGATTTGTGATGTTTTCGCCCTTTTGCGGGGGCGGAAGGGGGCGTGGCTCATTTTTGAACTACACTGGTTTCAGTGTGAGCATACAGCAGTCCGGAGCCAAAATTTGGTGGCTTTAGCTCTTATAGTCTCTGAGAACTAGCCGACAAAAGAGACGGACGGACAGACAGACATGACTCTATCGACTCGGCTATTGATGCTGATCAAGAATATATATATACTTTATGGGGTCAGAAACGCTTCCTTCTGTGTATTTAGAGTCATGGTGTGAACAAGCACGGAGTTTTGACGGAACGGGACATGGATAAATGTTTGCTGGCAAGGCGGCTGCAAACTGACTTCAAATTTGATGCCCAAGCATGGCACTAAAATCTGCAATTATATGCAATTATTTATCATATACATACATGTATATATATACATGGACATTCATTACATTTAGTAATATTAATAGATCAAGAATATATATATAAAGATTTATAAAATATATATATATAATATATATAGATTATATATAATAAAATAATTAAATTAATAAACAGGATGAACGGGATGGGGGTAGCCACTGCAAATTAATTTCTTCATTCTGGCCATAAAAATGATTCAATCTGATCCCAAATTCGGTGATCTGATAGATATAGTTTTTTGCTACGGAATGGCGTGAAAATTGTGGTTGTGGGAGATATTCGCCCTTTATGGGGGCTTGGCTAATAATGCCAGGTACTCGAATATTAAATAGAGTATAATGTATTTGTGCACAAAGGTGGATGTATGTAACGCACAGAAGGAAACGTTGCCGACCCCATAAAGCACACATATTCTTAATCAGCAACAATAGCCGAGTCTATAGACTATAGTATAGAGCAGGGCTCGGCACGGACCTATCTAAAGGGTATAGGACAAGGCGCTGCTGCGCTGTTGACAACACACCGCTAAGGTGAAGATGTAGTACTGAGTGCCGGGTATAAAAGTTGTTAGGCATGAGAAGTGTCTCACACGTCCCTTCTCGTTCGTTTTCTTTTATCTTCAAAATTGTATGTTTGGGAGGTTTTAGCCCTTTTGAGGGGGCGAAAAGGGGCGGGGCTAATTTTTGAAATACACTGGTTTCAGTGTGAGCATACAGCAGTCTGGATGCAAAATCTGGTGGCTCTAGCTCTTATAGTCTCTGAGAACTAGCCGACAAACAATATGTACAGACAGACATGGCTGATCAAGAATATATATACTTTATGGGGTCGGAAACGTTTCCTTCTGTGCGTTACATACAACCGTTATTCCCCAAAAATACAATACCCTATTTACTCTTCGAGTACCGGGTATAATAAAAGTTTGCAAGGATGGATTTGAATATTTTAACAATTTATTTGATTAGTTTTCGCATATTTCAAAATGTTTTAGAAGCTATAATATGTATATCGAAATATACCAATTTATAAATGACCGCTGGCCAATTATAAACCGGAGATAAAAAGACGAAATTATAGGTTTATTGCTGTAGACAAATAAGAAACGAATACATTGGTAATAATATAAATAAATAATAAATATACGATGCAACATTGAATAAAAACATTGAATTGAATCAAACTTTTAATTGTCCTTTGAATTTCCTGCAGATCTATTTTTTTGATTCATCAATAGCAGAATTTCCGCTCATTTTAACATTTGTGGCATCTTTCTGCAACATAATTGACTGAACTGTCAACTCCTTGGCAATTTCAGTTACATCAATTGGTTCATTTTCATATTGATAGTCCCCTGTCATAAACGAATCATCTGTTAGAGCTGCAAATCGGAAAATCGCGCATAACTTAGATTTAATTAACAGCTCTCTTAGTCCTTAGGCTTCTTACCTTCTTTGCGATGATTAACACGTTCTGGAGCTTTTCCCAGCAACTGCATTGTGTGCTTCGACACAGTTTTTTGTATGCCTCTCGTTTCGCAGCCTGATTGATTAGTTTCATCTTGAATTGGAGTTGACGGTGGAGTAGTACACAAATTTCCTATTTATGAGTTAAAATTTCTACAATTTAATCAAGTTAAAACAGAATGCACTTAAGATTAATAGACCCTACCATCTTCCATTTGTGGTGAATCTGTGCCAGTATATGTAGGGATAGGCGGCAGAGACACATTCTTTCTCGCAGTATTCAAAGGGAGCTCCGACTCATCAATGATATGCCCCATATTAGAAATGCACTTATCTATAATGTCGACACGACCAATTCTGTTAAGAGCTTGGGTTAACACTTCTGCTGCGGATAGGCCTTGTTGCTCTTCTTCCCGCCGAAGCTGTAACATCAACATGCGCTGCTCGGATGTAAGGTCTCCAAGGTTCTCAGCATTGAAAAGGTCGATGTCGGTCTCGGGTACACCCAATTCCTTCAAAAGTTGTGGCCAGTCACTGCCTATAAGGATGGAAATATCCAACAACCTTTTTTCAGCATGATGGAATCCTTCAGTGGAGTCAGCTTTCAGTTTTTGGTTTTTTGGTTGTTCAGTTATACCATTCTTATTCGGATTATCAATTTCCATCGTTTCTGCTGTGCATGCCTTCATTTCGGTAAATATTAAATCGTTTCGGTTAATTTCCTTGTAGAATATATTTCCATTGACAATGCCGTCCACTATTCCATTCTCGTTATGTGCCGATAGTTTTTCATCATGCACAGACACATTCAAAGCGCAGATTGGGTTCTGTGGAGCTTCTCCGGGTCCCACCTTAGGTTCGCTCATAAAACAAATGCGACTGTGTGGCAACTCTGGGTCCTTGATATGAACAATAAATGAAAGACGATTTTCCCGAAAAGCTTGGAACTTGGTATTCAATTGCTCTCCTGACTTCAAAACTGGCACAAGATTGCCGGAGAATTCTATGTAAATAGTCTGGTCCTGGAGCACCTCAATATCCCTACTTTTTGCAACCTCAATAAAGTATTCCTGCTGCTCTAGCGTCTTGTCCTCCTTATCATCAGTCATGCAGAAGACCGAAAACTTTGCTTCCGTATAGGTAATGCGTTTTGCAAAGATCACAAACTTGACAACAAATGGCACTTGAGCCATATAAGTGTAGAGCTCGGTAGCCATGCGCCCAGCGTCTGCAATATTACGGCAATCCATTAGCCAGAAGCGTGCAGAAACTGTTGTGGTAAATGTAACACTATCTTTGACAAAGGCTAGCGGAGTTGATCCGGTAACGTCTTCCCATGCGGCTCGTGTCTGACCACCAGTAATAGAACACAGAAGTCTTAGAGTGGGTGGATTTGCATTACCATTACCATAGGACGCATTCACCATGCCCTTGGTGCATGCCTTTGGTGCAGGTATGCTCAAAGTTATCGCCTTATGAAATTTGCGCCGACGAGGTTCCACTGTTACCACCGGTGATACAGCAACGCCCTGCCCGAGCAGCTTGGAACAACCAACCAGGTCTACTGGTTGTGCCTGAAGACCGACTCGAATTTTCTTAGTCAAGGCATGAGGAGGAAAAATGGCTTGAACCTGTGGTACAGCCATCGAAAAAACCGTTCCGCCATCGGGTCCGATAGCATGCACCTCCTGACGCACACGCGATACAACAGCAAAAAAGTGCGGAACGTTCTGTGTAACGATACGAACTATTCGGCTTGTGTGTAATTCCTCCAGCGGATTAACGTCTGTATCAATGGTGTCGTTCAAGGAGTCTAAATTTTGTTCTTCATTCTCATATAAGCTATGTTCTCGCCAGCTCTCGCCGTTGTCCGAACGCAGTATAATAATTTCGCGCTCGTTCTCTCTAAGCGAGCCGAAATGGGGCACTTCTAGTGTAATTGGGCTTGAGGAAAATAAATTACATTTGTTTTTATGTATTAAAACAAACTTTTATAAAATTCTTACCTCAAAAACTTTCCTTCCACCGGGGACATTTCGAGAATACGACTTACCAGTGCCTCGCCCTCCATTAAAGGAGGAGGGTTTGCTACTCTCTGGGGCTTGACATAGCGGCAAGTAATCCTCGTGGGCTCAGAACATGCCTTTGGGGGAACAATTATGCGTACTCCACTGTGTCGGTACCCGCGCATAGATCCACCACGGGCATCTACTAAGAACGATACGAGAAATCTGTAAAATTAGAATAAAAAATTCAAATAAATTATAATAAATGTTACTTTGCAGAACATAAACTTACCCCAAGTGAACAGGTGGCCGGACAATGAGAGCATTATCGCATTGACGTCCTGTCGTAGATGCATTCAGCCCCTGTTCTTCATGATCAATCATTTCTTCATACATGCAAGCATAAGTCAAAATTTTCTTTATTAACATTTTAGAATACGAAACGTGAAGGGACGTGGGAGACGCTTCTTACGCGTCACATCTTTTATACCCGGTACTCCGTCAGTGCACCTGTACCTTGATTTTTTTCGAATTTTACATTTGACATTTTACATTTTTTCTACATCTGTCATGTAGATGTAGATCTACATAACTTCTCACGCCAACAGCTTCTCAGCTCCTTTAGCTCACCCCCTCCCGAGGAGCCGCACACTGCAGAGGCAGAGGCCGCACACTGCAAAAGCAGAGCGTGAATGGGAGAATTTGAAAAAACTGCGGGACGGGTGGCTTTAGCGTTTTGGCTATAATAATATATATAAAAGGGTCCCAAGGTAACTTGCAGACGGATGTTATTTAAACTGACTTCAGTAAGGTATTCGATTCTGTAAACCATTCCGCCCAAACTGTTGAGATGGATTTCTAGCTACCTGTGTTCTAGGTCTCAAAGGGGCCTTTTCAAAAACTTCTTATCTTTACCTGTTATAGTTACTTCTGGAGTACCACAGGGTAGCCATTTAGGCCCCTTACTGTTCACAATCTTTCGTAATGACCTGCCTTCTGTATTAACAAATTCTCGAGTACATATGTATGCGGATGATGTTAAGCTCTGTGTCCAGTATAAGGACATTTCATTCCACTCTCGCTTGCAATCTGATCTCAATAGCTTTCAGTCATGGTGCTGTGCAAATATGTTACACCTTAATGCCTCGAAGTGCAAATTAATGACCTTTTATCGCTCGCTAAAGTTTTCTGAACATATTTCTACCATGGTAAATAAAGCCATGGGTGTGCTTGGGTTTATAAAGAGGTGGTCAAAGGAATTTGATGACCACTAACGAAGACTCTCTATATCTCGCTTGTTCGTCCGATTTTAGAATATGGCTCATGTGTACAGTGCCCTCAGTACAACATACATTAGGACCGTATTGAATCAGTACAGAACAACTTTATATTATTTGCTCTACGGGGCCTCAACTGGGATGAAACTGTGAGACTACCATCCTAAGGTAGTAGACTTCTTTTAATAAATCTTCCATCCTTAGTTAGTCATAGAAAAATGCTTGGTGTAATGTTTATGCCCAACTTGATCAAGGGGGAGCCCTGACTTGTTGAGCCGCGTAAACTTTAAGATTCCCATTAGACCCACTATAAACTATATTCCTTTGTTCCTTCCACTGTGCAGATCGAATTATGCCATGCACGAACCCTTCCTCTTCTTAAATCTCTTACACTAGCCTACCTCTCCCGTAGTTAGTTTCATTTTAGTTTTGTCTTGTTTCTGATTTTGGTAATTGTTGCCTGCTTAGCTATAGTAGCTCTAGTCTAGTTGTGTTTATTTCTAATTTTCCTGGAATATTAGCCTAGCATCTGTCTTTCCTGCATGCTCGCGACCGGTTCGGTTAATCGCGCCGCGCCTCATGCGGCAGCGCCCCTTGGGCGGTTGGGCGGGAGGAGGGCTGCGTTCTGCTGGGTTTCGCGTGTAACAGGCTTTGCCTTGGTGTCGCATGGGCCACTTGATGGTGCAGCCATTGCATATCAACGTCCAGACAAAACAAAACGAGAAGGGACGTGTGAGACGCTTCTTACGCGTCACAACTTTTATACCCGGCACTCAGGACTACATCTAGATGTAGCAGACATCGCCATCCACTAGATATCGTTCACATTACAGAACACGTAGTAAAAAGCCTACTAAATAAAATGTATCAAAAAAATTGGATCAGTTAATCGTATTTTCCAATTTATGAGAATTTTTTCTCTGAACATTCTGTGCAATAATGACCGATAGGTTTCACAGCAGATTTTTGGAAAGTGGCGCCATCTATGAAATTTTCTTGTACGCAACTTTGATGGTCACTCTTTTTCTAATACAGTCTTGGTTTTAACTTTTAAAAATTAGCTTTTGGCCACTCTTTCCGCAAAATCTCGAAATAAAAAGCGAAGTGCTGCTGGTTCGACCGAGTCGGAATTCAAATCAATTTAATCTCTTCTTCTTTTCAATTTCGATATTCACCTATTAAATGCATGTTCTTACTCTTTCTCTATCGTATTCACATATTACATGTATGTTCTATAGCAACAAACTTCTGTGAGTATGTCGTAAATGCAGCAATTCAATATCTTAATGCTACAAATTAATTTTACTTATACAAAATACTAATTGCTCCCGGCCATATGCCCTTTGCGCTAGTTTGGCGTAACAGCCACCAAAACTGGTCATTGAGACAATAGCGCATCTGCACCTCAGCGGTGTTTTGTCAAATTTTAAATTTTTTCTTCATCTGTCATCTACATCTACAACACTCTCACACCAAGACGCTCCGTAATCTCGCCGCCCTTCCCTAGACCCACACACTGCAGACTCGCGGCGGAGGCCAGGCAGCGATCGCACGAATAAAAAAAAAACAAATATAAGCTGCGAGACGGGGTGGGTTTAAAGTCGGAAGAGTCATCGGCAGGGGGAGGGCAGAGGCAGGGGCCGAGTGAAGCAAAAGCAGAGTGTGAATGAGAGAATGTAAAAAGAGCAACAAAAGCTGCAGGACTGGGTTTAGCCACTGGAAATTAATTTCTCCATTGTGGCTATAATAATGATCCGATCGGATTTGGTTTGGTTGGATTTGATCCAATTTGGTGATCTGATAGATATGGACATTTCCTACGGAATGGCGCTTTTAGTTTTCTTGTATCTTCAAAACTGTAGGGAGGTTTTCGCCCTTTTGCGGGGGCGAAAGGGGGCGTGGCTCATTTTTGAAATACACTGGTTTCAGTGTGAGCATACAGCAGTCCGGAGCCAAAATTTGGTGGCTTTAGCTCTTATAGTCTCTGAGAACTAGCCGACAAAAGAGACGGACGGACAGACAGACATGGCTCTATCGACTCGGCTATTGATGCTGATCAAGAATATATATACTTTATGGGGTCGGAAACGTTTCCTTCTGTGCGTTACATACATCCGTTATTCCACACAAATACAATATACCCTTTTTATTCTTCGAGTACCGGGTATAAAAATACAATTTCTAACTGGTCATTAAATGCAAATTTTAGATAACCTATACTTTTAAAATACCCACGAGCTACAAGTAACTTAAGATATACAATTTTTCACCTGGTTGTTGTTTTCGAAAAGGACTGCTTGCCATGGCATCGAAATTGAGCGAATTGACTTATAATTTTTGTTACTTTCTCAATCATTTCTAAATTGTAATCGTGGATTATTGTATTTTATTGGAAGACCTCGTATTAACCAAGTCTGTTTGAAATCTCCTTATCCCTTTTCATGAGAAGTTACTTAGTGATAACTGTCTGAGCCTTAACGAAGAGGGTCGTGTGACACTCTTTATGGGAGCGGAAGGGGCGTGAAATACACTTGTATCAGTGTGATGTTACAGCAGTGAAAAGGAAAAAGATGGTGGCTCTAGCTCTTATAGTTTTTGAGAACTTACCGACAGACATAGCTATATAGACTCGAAAATTGATGATGATTAAGAATATACAGGGGTCGGAAACGTTTCCTTCTGTCCGTTAAATACATTCACTGTTGTGCACAAATACCAAATACCCTATTTACTCTTCGAGTACCGGCTATAAAAATACAATGTACCGTATCTTAAAGGTTATGTATTTTATATTTAATATGTCAAATTTATATCTTGCCTGCAAGTGAACCGCGTGATATTACCTTTTTCGAGAGGGTGTCTAACCGATACATCCACTTGATCATTTCCAGGATTTGTGGTGTCGAAGTTTGGATGGTCGTGGTCATGACCATAGTTTGCTTTTAAATCATCGGTAGCCATATATTTGTATTGATTATGATCTAAAAGCTCGTCTCCACCTTCGTCTTCAGAATCAGAGAGTAGCGTTTCATGCATAAGCTCCGGTGATACAACCTTATATTTTTCTTCCACCACTCCAGTACTTGTATTTGTGATGGAGATTTGGGTGACCACCTTTAGTGTTTCTACTGCTGTAACGTAGCCCAGGTTGCTTGCGATATTTAGAGCTGTTTTACCGCTCTGAAATAGTTGAGTGACACATCTGATTAACATCCATCTTTACTTTAAGTTATCAACCAGTTCTTTCGAATCTATTCAGAAATCTTTAGAACATTTTAGCCTTAAAACCATTTGTGTTAAAGTGAATGCGGTGAAAATGGGAAACAAACTTTCTAACATGATGTACATACATTGTATGATGTCATAGACTAAGCAGTAAAAAAAAACCGATACAGTTGAATGTGCCTAAAATAGTTTTTGAGTTATATCTATTGGCTTAAATAGTGAAGTTCAAAAATATACAAAACAGAATGTATACAAAACTATACGAAACAACGCCCAAATTTTTGATTCACACATATGATAACAAGTTTAAAATGTTCACAATGAGACACATACACAAAATTTTGTTATAAACACAAATTACAAGGAGGCATAAGACAGAAAGTCCATACACTTCTGCATTTTCATTTGGAAAACACATGTGCACATGCAAACATATACTCAAAAATAAGAAGTATTCGTGTATCCACACAGGCAAAGTAAAATAAAATGTTTAAAAATAGAAGAGTTCGACCAGTGTCTCTGCTACACGAAAAACCTTTCTACGAACTTTGTGCATTTGTTTAATAGTATTTACAAAGCTCATTACTTTAGCAAATACTTATTTTAAATGCTTTGTTTAAAAATTATCGAAGATTACCCAGGGTATCATGTTTTTTATTATTATAAATGTTCAATAAGAGATCTCAATAACAAAATAATTGTCTCCACTCTGAGTCATTATTTTAAAATGATAAGTATATACAATGAACGGTCTGTTAGGTTGAAGGTTATACAGTTCCCATAGAGTGTTGCTAGTCATTATTTGGTTACTATTTTTATACCCGGTACTGGGTCATATATGAACATACAATTTTTTTTTTTTTTAATCGCTACAGCGAAATTGGTTGGTCGCAGACGATGAGTCCGCATTGACAGGTAATTTGTGTTGAATTTTAGAAAGAAAAAGTAAATGTTACTAAAAATTTTGAACTGTATGTACATACAATAAACATTTAACATTTTTTTTCCACATCTGTCACTCTATCGCGTCATTGTAGCTAGTGTTTGCGAAAACACCAAGCAATTCTCGCAGGAAAAATACGGAAGTGGTTTTTGCAGCGACCAATTCAAACTCAGACTGCAGCGAAAGTTGATGAAATTTATTGGTTCGAACTTTTCTCCAGGATCATCTTTCTTATAGCAGATAATAGTAATATGTTAAAAATAGTATGAATAGGGTACATTAGGCCCCCTTCTATTAATTTTAAAACAAAAGCGTGACAGAATTCTATGGAAATACCCAGCAAGCCCCAGCGGCTTCGCTCGTTGATATTTTTGAAAGGAGATTTGTAATATTATATAGTCTCTTTGTAACTCTTTTCCACACCACCATGGTAACGGCGCACTTTTTTTAATGTGGTGTGACCTATAGCCTTTGTCCAATATCACTTATAGAAGAGCTCTGAAGCGAAATGACAAACAGACTGACAAAACTGACTTGAGTTTTCTTAATAGTCCGGGTAACCCCATTTCAATAGGAATTGTAACCTTTTTCAATAAAATGGTAGTTCAGATGATACAAATGAGGTTTCTTTAGCACAGCCAGCAATTATTTTTGCATTCATTATTATACCCGGTACTCGAAGAGTAAATAGGGTATATTGAATTTGTGCGAATAACGGTTGTATGTAAAACACAGAAGGAAGCGTTTCCGACCCCATAAAGTATATATATTCTTGATAAGCATCAATAGCTGAGTCGATTCAGCCATGTCTGTCTGTCCGTCCTGATGAGCGCCTAGTACTCAGAGACTATAAGAGCTAGAGCCACCAAATTTTGCATCCAGACTTCTGTATGCTCACACTGTTACAAGTGTATTTTAAAAATGAGACACGCCCCCTTCCTCCACCGCAAAAGGGCGAAAACCTCCCAAATTAATTTTGAAGATAAAAGAAAACTAAAAACGCCAATCCGTATTGAACGCATTCCATATCTATCAGATTTCCAATTATCCGATTGGATCATTATTATAGCCACAATGAAGAAATTATCTTCCAGTGGCTAAACCCACCCCGTCCCGCAGCTTATATTTGTTTTTTGCACATTCTCTCATTCACACTCTGCTTCTGCAGTATTTTAGCTTCCTTCTATGCGTTACATACACCGTTATTCGCACAAATACAATATTTACTCTTCGAGTACCGGATATAAAAACCGGATGGACGGGATGGGGGTAGCCACTGGGAATTAATTTTTTCGTTCTGGCTATAGTAATGATCCAATCAGATCCAAAATCGGTGATCTGATAGATATGGTCATTCCCAACGGTATGACATTTTTTGTGTGAGCGGAAGGGTGCGGGTCGAATTTTTTAAACAAACTTTATTCAGTGGTGTAGCTGATGCTGATCAAAAACATATACATATACTTTATGGGGTCGGAAACGCTTCCTTCTCTGTGCTACATTTTTCTACCACAAATATGTATGTATGTATGTAGGTATGTTGTACCCCATTTTCTCTTCGAGTACCGGGTATAAAAATATATAAATTGATGCGATTAAATGATCAAATACAGACACGGTTACCCAAGCCACGTTAATCTTAATCACGAATATATGATCAAATGTTTCAAAATGAGTTCAAGATAATTTAGCTAGCAAAATGCATGCAAATGGTTCAGGTTCCGATATGTGTGTCCCTAAAAAAGAGGAATAAGAACAATCTTGGCTGTCCACCGACCGTTTCTGTCTATACCACGTACTATGTATATGACAAATGATCCGAGATAATCAATGGATGGCACATGTTTAAACAGGGTGATAGGGACTTTAACCAACTTTTGGTTGGCTGTAACTTATCCCAAAAAGTTGTACATATTGACAATCAGTTTAACTTACGTTTGTTAAAGCATCTGGATTAGCCTTGTGGCGCAACAAGAGATTAATGATCATTATATGACCCTGCTGGGCAGCCTGATGTAGTGGTGTATAGCCAATGTTGGTGGACATTTCAATATCAGCATCATTTTCAAGGAGATATTTTACCAGATTGATTTGTCCATAGTGGGCGGCAATGTGTAGCGGCGTATACCCATTTTTGGTGCGATTTGAAATTTTAGCACCGTTTTCCAGTAGAGTCCGCGCCACAGGGACGTGGCCTTCTTGGGAAGCTAAATGTAACGGAGTTAAGCCGTTCCTAGCTGCAGCACTTGTAGCACCATTTTCTAGCAAAAATTCGACCATAGGCAAGTGTCCCTCTTGGGCGGCCAGATGAAGTGGAGAGAAGCCAGACTTGCTAATTGCCCTGACATCAGCACCATGTTGTACAAGTTGCTGGGCCATTTCCAAGTTGTTCTTTTTTGCAACAATATGCACGGCACTGTGTCCGTTGCGTGCGCATATTTGCGGCGATGCACCCTTTTCCAGAAGTACCGCCACTACCGGCTGATGGTTATAATGCGCCGCTACGTGCAAAGGCGTCACATCGTTCTTGCCCTGACAATCAATAGAAGCACCCTTTTCGAGCAATAGCGCTACTACCTTTTCTTTTCCGTATTTGCTAGCTAGATGCAATGGAGTGAACCCCTTTTGTGTGACTCCGTCTAGTCGAGCACCGCTCTCGAGCAACGATAAGCAGACTTCCTCCTGACCTTCCTTCGCCGCAATGTGAAGCGCCGCGTATTTGTCCTTAGTTTCAGCATTTATATTGGCTCCATGCTGCAACATTAACATAATTATATCAATATTGCCCAATCTAGATGCCACGTGAAGCGGTGTTTGTCCTTCCCGAGCAACAGCATCCACCTGCGCTCCGTTGCGAAGCAAAATTCGAATTATATCCGTCTGAAAGCACATAAAGGTAATAACAAGACTAACCCAGATAGAAGGAAAATTACTTGATTGGCACGTGATGCTAAATGCAATGGTGTCTCTCCGCGTATTGTTGGTATATCTGGGTTAGCGTCATGCTGTAACAAGTATATGACAATGTTCATGCAGCCTGAAAATAGCCAAATTTTTGTATGCTGTGAATATCGACTTGTATGCATGTATGTCCTATTTTTTATTTAAGGCAGTGTTTTGCAGGTAATCGCAAACAGGTGAAAAATTTACCTACCCATAAAACTAGCCACGTGCAATGGTGTAAGGCCAGATTCCGTGGTAGCACTAATGGTAGCCCCATGCTTTATAAGCAATTCAGCAACTTTGATGCGATTCTTCTTACAGGCAATATGAAGGGGGGTGAAACCGTTGAGGGCGCGTGAGTTTGCATTTGCACCGTAGTCAAGCAGAAGTTTGGCCACCCTCACATGGCCACAGTGTGCAGCCACATGGAGCGCAGTCAAATAATCAACGGTTACCTCGTCTACTGGAGCCTTATGTTCCAGAAGAAGACGCGCCGCTTCATCGTGCTCGCCTTGTGCGGACATATGCAAGGCCGACAATCCATTTTTTGTCTTTGATAATATTGGAGCATTATGACGAAGCAGGAGCTCAATAACCTCAACATGGCCTGAACGTGAGGCACAGTGTAACGGTGTCAGGCCATCACGAGTCGGTCCATCTATACGAGCGCCATGGGATAACAAAAGGCTGCACACTGTATACTTTCCCCACTTGCAGGCCACGTGTAACGGCGATATGTTGTGTTTGGCAATATAGTTTACATCAGCACCGTGGTCCAGAAGCAAGGAGGCTATTTCCTCGTTTCCATAATGAGCGGCAATGTGCAGGGGCGTAAAGCCAGACTTAGAAACAATGTCGGCATTATGATCATGCTGCAGCAACAGTGTGGCTGCGCTTACGTCGTTCTTTTTGGCTGCAATATGAAGTGCCGGAAGACGCACTTTGCCACGAACATCACTTTCTAGGAGGACTGCCACCACCTTGTCGTGACCTTGCTGCATTGCCACGGCCAATGGTGTAAAGCCGTCTTCTGTGGCAAGAGACGGGTTTGCTCCTTTTGCCAGAAGAAATCGGCAACAGTTGTCGTGATTCTCCTGAGCTGCCATATACAGCGGTGTAAATCCATTTAACGATTGAACGTTTACATTTGCATTCGATTGAATAAGTTGCTTAATAACATTTTGCTGACCCGCCAGCGACGCTATATGTAAGGCTGTATTTCCCTTTTTTGTGGCGTTGTCCACTTGAATGCCTCTCCTCAGCAACTCAGTACAAATTTCGACATATCCATCCTTTGCCGCTAGGTGTAGAGCGTTAAGTCCGTTCTATGCGTATGTAAAATTATCAATACCTATTCATGTTTTGTAATGGATTCATCAAATGCTTACCGCATTGCAAGTATTAATATCCGATATCTCACCACTTTCAATAAAATCAAGAAGTTTTGTTATATCTCCACTGCGGGCAGCACGTAAAAATGATATAGTTGAATCGATCTGTCAATAAAACAGAGAACATTACAGACACTAGAAATAGTATTATCCTTCACAATGATTCAGCGCGTTTTGAAATATTGAATACTTTTTCAGTACCAGGTGAGTACCAGAAATCACACAGATTGTACAGTGGCGAGCATCCATGGATACATGTTCATCACTTTACATTTTAAGAGCATGTAAAATCCGTTAAAAATAATCAAGCCTTGTCACTAAATCCTCTCGACTAAAACTTGTATGTAATCGCCATATAATTTTTCCCATTAGGTTGCATATAGACCTAGGTTAGATTGGGTATTTATTTGTGTAAAATTAAAAAATATTCTTATTAATTTGTGAGCCGTTTAGGCTTGTTTTTGTGTTGTTTTTTTTTCGTAAGTACGCCCTCACATTTAGCCGCTCGGTCAAGAATGGCATGGACATGTTTATAAGGCAGACGCGAACAGGCTTTAAGGAGCTGACCTATAAAAAGCTGGGCTATAAAAAGCAGTACGATCGGATTCTAGCAATGGAGCCTCAATTCAAAAAATTCACTTTGCGAGATCAGCAAGATCCCAAGACCGATCGCCGCTTATCAACGTCTCAGACCACTCCTATAGTGCAGCAGCTAATATCGTTTGAGTGATTTAATTTCGGATACTGGAGAATTTCTTCATTCATTTCATTCATGCATTCGATCCTATCCCAATTTGGTGATCTTTTAGTTTTCTCTTATCTTCGAAATTGTGGATACAGCAGATTTTCGTCCTTTGCGGGGGTGTGGCGAAATTTTGAAATACACTTGTAACAGTGTGAGCATACAGAAGTCTGGATGCAAAATTTGGTGGCTTAAGCTCCTATAGTACTCTCTGAGTAATGGCCGACAAACAAGACCTTCGGACAGATAGTTACAATTTCTTTGGGTGGTGTGAGCATAAAAAAAGAGCCTCAAGCCGCTTTAGGCAGCGCCACTCTCCTATTTAATTTAATACAATTTTGCATGGGTATTTTTCTAAAGTCATGTAAATCAAATTGGAAGGCAAATGTATACAAATTTCTTTAGGTCTTCTAATGTAAACTTCAAGGCTTTCTAAAATCCTTCAATGTGAAGGATTGGAAGTGTCTCAAAATATGCTTTGGAAGTGGTGAGGTGGGGCACTACTATTATTATGAACACAGCTGTAAGTAAGCCCATTATGTTTGTCAATTTTAAATTTGTTTGTTACATCAGAATATATTTCATCCCCTCACACACCAACATTCCGTTTAGCTCAGCTAGACGGCGCACACTTCAAGAGGCAGAGTGTGGAAGCGAGAGAGAATGAGCTAGCGAAAGCACATCTGGAAAGGGTGTGGATGATAGCCACTAAAAAAGTATATCTTCATTCTGGCTATAGTAATGATCTTATACGATCTAATCCTAATTGGGTAATATATGGTCGTTTTTAACTTTTTTGATTTTGTCATATCTTCAAAATTGTCCATTTTCAAAAGTTGTCTTTTGTGCGAGCGGAAGGTGGAAAAAATTAAAAGAATAGATTGTAAACGCCATATTCGTACATATGTACGTATGTACAAAAAAAATACGTTTCGTGGCTGCTGTCATACGCCTAAGTCGAATTAAAAGATGTGTACATATTTATGAACATATGTATGTATGTAACTTATGTATGTAATTTATGTAACTTTACCTGCTTTTCAAATTTTGTGTTTCCATTGATTTTGTCTATGGATATCCCGTTATCTACGGGTTTATTGTTCTTGTTTGTTGTCATTGTGTGTTCGCTTAGCTTTTTATTCTCGGTTTGTATCTTCTTCTCAATTCGTATCTCTCCTAGTGTCATGCTTCAGAGTAAATGCCTGAAAATAGGAAAACCACAAGCAACTTGTAAGCAAAGAGATACACACACACGCATTACACACTAATGATACAGTTCTCAAATTCGTCATTCTCATTGTTTGTTTGTATGTTTTAATACACTATGTATGTACATATGTACATATTTACGGTCAAGTGTACATACAACTCTACATACCTTTTTATTGAAGATAATTTAAAAATTTAAAGAATTCAAAGTGGTAGATAATTGAATTAACAATTATTAACAACAAAAGAATTTAGTTTCCCTTTTATTTAATTGTTGCGGTTGGGCATGAAGGTATACAAATGTCAATATGACGTCATAACCTATACAGTTCTATTCCCTAATATCTAAGGTTGAAACAATGGCTCAAAAATATGTTATTCTGAAGAGAAGCGTTTTATTTACCATGCATGAGTTATCAGAGAGAAAGGTATTAGAGTATACCAACTTTTCGATCAAATATACCGAAAGACCCTCAAAAATATACCAAAATACCAATACCAATACCAATACCTTTTCAAAATTTAAGTCGTGCTCAGATCCGAAAACACGTTTGCTAGCAAACTGTGCAATATATTTTGATTGGTTTTTTTGTCGATCTGGGTACTGCCTGGCGTACAGCCGCTATAAAGTAACTTGTGCGCGACAACATTTCTAATCGGTTCCATATGAATATCATCCCTGATTTTTCTAGCAGCCCCTGTTTTAGATCTGGTACTAGGCTATATGTCTGGGAAAAACATCTTCAGCCTTCTTTGATTGGTGGAACAGCAAGGCCGCGCCAAGGAATATATGCGCCCGTGTTAAAGTTGTAAAACGGCGCGTCCAAGCACTCTTCCTATTCAAAATTGGATTGTTTCGAGTCGAAATTGTCGCCATCGCCCCATGGAATGACCCTGTACAGCAGTACTTGGTCCCAAAAGGAAAACAACTTAAAATATTTTGTTAATATCCCAGCCGGGTAAGTCTTGGTAACATGAAGCAACTGCCGTTCAAATAAGTTAAACAAATTAAAAATGCAAATAAATTCGATATAATCTCATGAATCTCAATAATTGTTTAATTTTTTTTGCCGTTTGATGGCCTTAAGCTCGTTTAGAAGCACAGTGGTCATTTATCTCTAAACTTCAACATGTTGCATCCACTTGATTGAGACTTTACTCTGTTTGACCGACTGACTGTTTGCAAGGTACTCTCTCGGAATATAAAACAGATCTACATATATTTGTCGAGCCGCTAGCAAGATACCAACGAAAACCACAAAATACTATCGGAGAACACTATTCGGCTCTTCTGACATTGGCCGCCAAACTTTTTTCCTCGACAAGAGAATCAATCTATAAACGAAAGACGAATATGTTAACATAGCAAACAAGAAGCTAATAGAAACAAATTTTTTTTTATATTTGATTTTCCGAAAAAGATTTAAAAAAATGCTCTCTTGTGCTTTTGAATGTCAATCCACTTTTTCTCCTGCATATACATTGTTTAGTGTCTGGTAGAACCTCCAAAGTCTATAAATCTGTTGGAAATCTTCTCCAAAATGTGTTACACTCTCAAATATACCGTGTAATATACCGAACAATTGTGGAAATATACCCATGTATATCGATATACCGTACATATACCGTCAACTCAATATCGTCGTCAAATTATACCGAAAAGTATAAAATATACCGTAAACGGTCACCCTGGTCAACACATGGCAATAAAAAACACAAACTTTCTCAAAAAATCGTTTCTTTCGGTCCCAAAAATATCGATTAAAATTTAATGTTTAAAATATCGATATAATATCAACAATCCTAGAGCACGCACGTGTTTGCAATTGTTATTTTTTCTTAAGAATTTTATTTTTGCAATGGCTTTTGGTCGACCTCGTGGTGGTGGCGGCGGAAGAGGATTTCGTGGCGGTGGTGGAAGCAGCGGCGGAGGTGGTTTCAAGTCTGGTGGAGGTTTCAACAGAGGTGGAGGATTCAACCGTGGCGGAGGCCGGGGTGGAGGAGGTCGTGGAGCGTTTGATAATGGTTAGTCCGATTTTTCCGTTCATAATGCATACAGATAAATACCGTAATAATTTATAGGTCCGCCAGATCGTGTCATTCCCATAGGACAATTCGCTTATAGTTGTCAGAATGACTTAATTTGCAAAGTCGGGATAGAGGATGTTCCTTATTTCAATGCACCAATATTCCTCGAAAATAAGGAACAGATTGGGAAAATTGATGAAATATTTGGCACAGTTCGTGATTACTCCGTGTCCATTAAATTGTCGGAAAATGTCTATGCTAACAGTTTCAAACCAGATCAAACATTATTTATTGATCCTGGAAAGCTATTGCCTATCTCAAGGTTTTTACCAAAACCACCACAGCCAAAAGGACCTAAGAAAAAAGGCGCATCAGGTGGACCTGGTGGTCCAAAGGGTGGTTTTAATCGAGGTGGAATGGGTAATGCTTTTAAATCAAATATGTTGACTATATATTTATATTGTTAAATAAAATACATGTATTCTAATTAGGTGGCCGAGGTTCACGCAACAGCTTTGGAGGCAGTGGCTATAGAGGAGCCGGTCGTGGAGGCGGAGGATTTAACAGAGGACGCGGTGGCGGTGGTGCAGCTGGAAACGGTCGTGGGCGTTGGTAGTTTTCATTACTATGTTCAAAGATTGTTTCTACACCAGACAAATAGAATAAAAATATACTATGTTGTGCACTCCAGTAACGAAACCCAGCTCTGAATAATAAAGAAAAATATTTGTAAAATAATGTTTCTTTGTTTTGTGGAGCGCATTACCGATAACAAATGTAAGTGGTGAAAATGCATAATTTTATTGCCGCAGCATACATACATACCTACATATATATATGGTATTAAATATTTTTAATTACATCTCGGCAGCAAATCAAATAGTGTTTATCCGGCGTCTATTCCCAGAAAAAGCTGCTAAAAACCACTGATAGTTCCCAAATCGACATCTCTTCGCGCGGACAAATTACGTTTTGAAACAACATTTCTCCGCGTGGAGACGACGCTTTCGAGACGAAATACACTTGTAATAGTGTGATATTACAGAAGTGCATGCAACACTTTGTTGCTATAGCTCTCTGAGTACCAGGCACTCATGGGGACGGACAGGCATACATATATAGCTGTATCGACTCGGCTATAGATATTGATCAAGAATATATATATGTGATTTATAGGGTCGGATACGTTACTGTGTTACATTTTTCCACCAAAAATACAATATACCCTATTTACTTTTCGACCGGGTATAAAACAGGAAACGGTCGTGATAAGGAGGGCTCCCAATTGATAGGAAAACTGGAAAATATCGCATCAAATGGTAATGGCTTGCACAGCTCACAATGTTGACACCCATCCTACGAGCTCGTTCTCTGTGATTTCAGGATATATGTACTTACATACTTACATATGTATGTATAAAGACTGGATTATTGTTCTTTAGGTAAAAATGTATTGTACAATTTACAGAACTTATAGCATAGAGGCTAATCAAGAATATTTAATATAATTTATATACATACATATGTACATATATGACAGAGCCATTAAATATGACACACATTTTTCGGGTACTCAACGAGTACCGGGTGTAAAAGCTTAAAACGAATATTTGGTAAAAGGCGGGTAAATGAGAAACATGAAACTTGTATCTGAGAAACAAACTTGAAGCTTTAAGCTGTAAAACGCTAAGTTCCAGTTGGTTAAAACCTGCCATCAGCAGCACTCCCAGTTCGTTGTTTATCGTTCAGTCGGAGATATTGATCAATTGGAAAGAGTTGCATATGTTACATTCATATCAAAAGTAGAAAGCCAACCCGTTTACATAACAGCTTATGCAGTCATGATTCGATATTCCACTAAATATAGTTGGAAAATTACTCTTCAGCTTACGCTTCTTATTAAATTTGTCAATAGTGTTAGTTTTGTTGAGTCACTAAATGAAGGCTATGGCCATGTAATTCAGCCGAGCTTCCAAGAGCGTGAAAGTCAACTTAAGATTATAAATGAGTGGAAATATTTGGACTTTGAATATCCAACTTTTGTCGAACGCCAACAAGCAATTATGAATGGGTAACCAACACAAAGTTTCGTTATAACCTTGCTGAGCTTAATCTGAGTTTCCCCATAAGCTTCCAATACAGAGAAGGAGGAATCTGTGAGCCAATTAAGTATAAGCCAGCAACAATTTTCGAGGCGGCATGTTCATTCAGTCCGTCTTGATAAGCGTCGAAACTAGACATACATATATATGTACATCTTATCCCTAATCCATTCCATGTACTCTATCTCTATTCCATTCCATCTATCATTCTGTCTTTTTCCATGCAGTCTGGTCTCGCAGCTTGAAGCTGCTGTTTTGTGAAATTCATCTGACATATTTGAATCCAAAACTTGATGTATAATACGATTTTGTAAACCCGGTATTCGAAGAGTAAATAGGGTATATTGTATTTGTGCACAAAGTGAATGTATGTAACAAAGAAGGAATCGTTTCCATAAAGTATATATATTCTTGATCAGCATCAATAGCCGAGTCGATTGAGCCATGTCTGTCTGTCCGTCCGTCTGTACGTCTGTCTGTCCGTCTTGTTGAGCGCCTTGATCTCGGAGACTATATAAGCTAGAGCCACCAAATTTTGCATCCAGTCTTCTGTATGCTCACACTGTTACAAGTGTATTTCAAAAACGAGCCCTGCCCCCTTCCTCCACCGCAAAAGGGCAAAATCCCTCCCAAATCTACAATTTTGAAGATAAAAGAAAACTTAAAACGCCATTCCGTAGGGAATGACCATGTCTATCAGATTACCAAGTTGGGTGCCTAAACCCACCCTGTCCAGCAGCTTTTGTTGTTCTTTTTACATTCTCTCATTCACACTCTGCTTCTGCTTCACTCGGCCTCTGCCTCTGCCGTCCCTCTGCCTCTTCCTCTACCGACTTTTAACCCACCCCATCCAGCAGCTTATATTTGTTTTTTTATGTGTGCGGGCGCTGCCTCTGCCTCTGCCGCGAGTCTGCAGTGTGTGGGTCTAGGGAAGCGTGTTGGTGTGAGAAGTGTTGTAGATGTAGATGACAGATGAAGAAAAAATGTTAAATTTGACAAATCACCGCTAAGGTGCAGATGTAGTACTGAGTGCCGGGTATAAAAGTTGTGACGCGTAAGAATCGTATCACACGTCACTTCTCGTTTTATTTGTAACCTACAATATATGTATGTATAGTGCGTCAGATCAATTATAATTTTTCTTCCCTGCTTCTCTGTAAAAGATGCGTTAAAAAAAATTAAGCTTAGCAATCAATTAGACACAACTATACCTTTTATCTTATCCGCAGAGACTTTATACCGAAAAATAACCTTCCTTTGGGCATTGACATTGACGTTAATAATAATCGACTATTTATTACCACGCCACGTTGGAAAGACGGCGTACCCGCAAGTTTAGGGACTATTCCCTTCCCTACGAGGGAATTAAGCCCAGCAATTAAACCATATCCCAATTTTGAAGCTCATGGGAATCCATATAATCCAGACTGTTCGAAACTGATATCGGTATATCGAACTACTATAGACGCATGTAACCGGCTCTGGCTTATCGACTCTGGTATTGTTAATGCCACCATTAACATTAATCAAATTTGCCCTCCGAAAATAGTGGCTTTTGACCTAGGCACAGACCAAATGATCGTTCGCTATGATTTGCCTAAATCGCAGGTCAAAGAGGATTCTCTGCACTCTAATATCATTATGGAAGTCGGTGATCGTTGCGAAGACGCACATGCAATTGTAGCAGACGTATGGCGGTTCGGACTTGTTGTTTATAGCTTGGCCAAGAACAAAAGCTGGCGAGTAACCAACTACAATTTTTCACCAAATCCAGTGGCTTCTGATTTTAAGGTATATGGATTGAACTTTCAATGGCTGGATGGTGTGTTTGGCATGAGTATATCTTATGATCTGAAGAGTAAGCAGCGAGTGCTTTATTTCCATCCAATGGCAAGTTTTAAGGTAAGCTATTCGAGACATATGTACATATAATAATCGGTAGATTAAGTCGTTCGCAAACAGACAGTTAAGAAATATTAGTTGTTTTGGGTCGTCGAAAGCCCTTTAGGGAAGAAAAAAAACAAATTATCAAAACTTTAACTCAAAAAGAAGAAAGCTATCCTTATGTGAGGAAAATAGTTTGTTCCTCATCTTAAATGATTCGTATTGCTTTAAAACATGTGTCCAACAAGAAACTCGTGAAATATTTGGCGCAATTTCCACATTCGGTTGAAAATGCTGGTTCCTGAGAGCAAGAGGGGTCCTTTTTAGCCGGCCAAAGAGCTTAAAAATTATCTTAAACATTTACAAAGATAAGCAAAGCTAGCTTAGCTGATTTAAGCTAGATGACAGATAAAGAAAAGATGTAAATTTGACAAATAACCGCTAAGGTACAGATGTAGTGCTGAGTGGCGGGTATAAAAGTTGTGACGCGTAGGAAGCGTCCAAAAACTTAAAAAAAAATTATTTTCCTTTGAATACAATTAAAGTAAACTATAGTGATGAAAATTTGTGGAAATTTCTTTTAAATTTGAAGTTTTTTGAGCTTTTATGAAATTGGCGCTATTTTTGTTGCCGCCAAAATACCGAAATAATTCATTTTCCTTCCAAATATTTCCAACTAAAGCCATCAAAGCATAACATTTTCCTCGGATAAGTTGAATTTAAGCCTCAAAGTTGATATAATAGTTTTAAAAACCTTCATTAGAACCATTGTTTAAAAAAAATATCTCAAAGAAAACAATTATTTTCATGGTATGTATGTATATACTTCCGTATTAGTATTTATATCCTTGCGGAGTTCCTGTTCCAGTTCGAACAGTCTAAACAAATCATACCTTGCAATGTTCATAGAATAAATTGGCTTATTTAATAGATATGTATTTATTACTTATTAACGTACTATTCTTTTGTAATTATTTTATTTTCATTAGGAATTTATAGTATCGACCGACCTATTGCTAACCGAATCCTTATGGGAAAATAAAAGTCAGGACAACGCCCAATATTTCTTTTCAATTGGCGATCGCGGATACAATGGTCAATCCTCCACATCTGGTATTGCAAGAAATGGTGTGATGTTCTATACACAAGTTCACCGAGATAACATTGGTTGCTGGGACACAGCCAAACCATATACGCGGTCCAATTTGGGAATACTCCTCGATCCAACTGTCTCCTCAACACTCATTCAATTCCCCAATGATTTAAAAGTGGACGATGGAGAAAATCAAAGCGTTTGGATAATGAGCAATCGTCTGCCGATTTACTTGTATGGCCAGTTGGATTATTCAGAAATCAATTTCCGCATTTTAAAGGGCGATGTCAACATGATGATCAATAACACTATATGCAATCCAGTCAACACATACGGTAACGGAACTAAATCTGCTATAGTGCTAATAGAGGAAGGACAGTGCTATTAAACAAATTTCAGTTACAATAAAAAAAAATTTAAAAAAACAAAAAATAACGCATATATAAATATATCCTAGACTTCATACATACATACATATGTATATATGTACGAACGAGATTTTATGTATTTAAAGATGCTTCAAATTATTCAGATGGCACCTATGTACATATATACTTACATAAATATTTACATATGTATGCATGTTTTACACTAAGGTTTAAATATTAGCTTAAC